CATGATGTAGGATGTCTGCTTGACAGACAGACACTCGGTTGTACTTGATTATATCCATATGTATTTATGTTTAAATTATACTGTCTACCATAGCCCTATTAGGGCGGCCATTGTGCATGATATGATTTTTAATTAAAGATGGTTTTTATGTGTTTGTGCAAATGGGTGAGCCAGTCTCACAAATAAACAATTTCTCTAAATGCTGCCTAAATAAATCAAATTAAAATATCTGTCATATATTTAGTTATATCAAACAAATATTTCTTGAAAACGCTTTAGAAAAAGGATTTTTAATACATCTTTTATATATTTGAATACATAATTCCCACACATTTCTATGAACACATTTTAAACCCCGTGCTCTCATTGTTTCCATAAAAGAGTGTGTAAGGGAATTTTTTAAAAAGAGGTGGATGCGTTGACACTGACTTGAAGCATGTATTTAACTGACATACACATATCACGTAAAAGAATCATGGAACCCTTAGAAGAACGAACCGACGTTCATACTCCGACGTCCAGCATTGTTATATTCTTTTACCTGTGTTTTGAAGTGTATAAATTGTTGTACAGAAAATGAGACTTTAATAAAATATCTGGCTGGCTGGCTGGCTGGCTGGCCTCCAATACCCCACGTTTTTCGTAAGGATTGACTGAATCGAGGAGCTAGTGTTTACTATGTGCCATCGAGTACCTGTGTCCCACTGACCGCCTCCGTGAAGCAGAAAGTCGATCGTTAGATCCCCTGGTCGCGTCATACCACAAAGTGTCAAATGTGGTACTTGTTGTTACCCTGTCTGACGCTCAACTTTAAGGGGTTAAAGCAAGGACTGGTCGGATCGGGGTCAGTATAGTGTCTCTGAGTGGGGTATCCATGTTTAACTGCGGCAGGGTATCTAAGTAGGATAGCACAATAAAACCTACTTAAGACGGGACTAGTATACGCAACCACATACGCATTCTCTCTCTCTCTCTCTCTCTCTCTTTCTCTGTCTCTCTCTCTCTCTCTCTCTCTCTCTCTCACACACACACACACACACACACACATGTCGCCTATATAAATGCAATAATCATGAAAAAAATCACATCACCTGTGTACCAATGGCACGGATCGCTGCTCATGCTGTCAACCACTGGTTTAGCCAGACTCGACAATGTACGTCGTGACACAGCTGCAATATTTCAGACTGCGGCGTAAAACAACACCCACTAACTACTAATGCTTCTATTGAAGATATAAAGTTGGAACATGTTCCCGTCCATTGGTGGACAGTGGAATAAAAAAAAGCTCGTGAAACGTAAATACCTAACGGGGAACACAGATCCTTCTAAGAACAGTGAGTATGTAAACCTACTTGAAGTGAAATCCCTATCATTTAGCAGAAAGAGCATTTAATCCAGTTCAAGTATATAATAATAATCTGCTTCTTGAGCGAAAACATAGCGTTTGTCATAGCAGACGGATCAGGTTCCGATATTTCGTGCTTTCCGAGTGAAAATATCTGAGCAAGGAGGTGAACAAGGATATCGTCTTTCACCAACCTTTTTAGTTCTAATTTCCTAGGCGTGCGGTCCTTCTCCAATAAGCCATAATGTTTACGGATGATATCAGTGCGTGTTATATTTCCCATTTCACACTTGTGGAACCTATATGCAGACGTTCAGGCCAGGAAACAGAATTTTTATCAGCTTTTTCGTAAGTTTATCATATTATACCGCCGACACGAATCACTTTCTTTACAAAGAACTGAAACGGCGTTAAACCGTGGTCAAAGGAAAATTATCGGTCTTTGTATATTGATAACGGATATCACATTGGACTTGATGTTAAAAATGGTCTGGTAATAGCATGTGGTCTATTTTCCCGACCTTATGGCTGTTATACTAGTAAATAAGGTGACTGAACTGAATAAAGTAACGTGGATATAAACCAGCTGTGCCTCAGTAAGAGTAATGTGTATATCATTTCAACTAATCCCTCTCTCGATGGGATTCCAACTGAGATAGATTACTCGATATGGAAGGGCGCGATCGTGCGAGACGTGGATCCGATGACAGTCCACTGCAGATGACATTCCCGTAAACAGATCTTGACAAATTGCTGTTTATCTTAGATCGGATTATGTTTATACTATTTTGTTTTACTTTTGCTCCACCTGACTGTCCGAACGCGTTGGCTTAAGGGGTGAAACACGACGCCCTCGTCAGGACTGCCGCGGTGGAATGCCAGTAATGAAGTAGCGTTGGTATGTTGGTATCGATGGTGTTGTGATAGTCGATACCGCGACAGCAGCGTTTCAGGAGGAATCATTACCATGTGTCGTATGTGTTTTCTCCGTGTGTGTGACCTTATCTTACACTCAGTGAGTGAGTGAGTATGGTTTCACGCCGCTTTTAGCAATATTCCAGCAATGTCACGGCGGGGGACACCAGAAATGGGCTTCATGCATTGTACCCATGTCAGGAATCGAACCCGGGTCTTAGGCGTGACGAGCGAACGCATTAACCACTAGGCTACCCGACGGCCCCCCTTATCTTACAAGGGCGGTTGGGTCGTCGAGTGGTTAAAGGGTTTGTAGTCACGCCGAAGATCAGAGTTCGATTCCCCACATGGGGATAATGTGGACAGGTCACAATATTGCTGAAACCGACTTGAACCATGTTCGTTTACTCAGGTCGCAGACTGGATTTGTTCTGTATGTTTGTTTAACGCCGCACTCGGCAATATTCCATCTATACGACGGCGCCCTGTAAATAATCGACTCTGTACCAGACAATCCAGTGATTGATACAGTGAGGTACGATACACGCCGTTTGGGTACGATGCCACACAATCAACCAAGTCACTGAGACGAGCCACCCGATCCATTTAGTAGCTTCTTAGCCTCTTATAACCAACATAGGTGACGTGGGACCCAGAATTTGAACTCAGAATCCCCACTGAGAAAAAAGACTGGCAATGAATGTGATTAATAGGGTGATATGAAGAGGCTATTCGATCCACTTAATTTATTGTTGGATCGTGTTGAAAAGATGCATACATTTGATGAAATTGTTTTCTATCCACCTGGTATTAGGGTAATTTATCAATCTGTTATTAAGGTAATCCACACCTGGAAACGAATTAAGAACCGCTAACAAGATATTTTCATATAAAATAGATTTATTTTTTTTAAATCTTATCTTAATTTTCTGACGAAACACATTTTTGTTCCAAAAGCGACATACTCACATTAAAACACAGATGGAACAGAAATCGATAATGTAATAATGAACTAAGAAACTCTTCCATGGCAATATTTAATTATTTGACCACCCTTTCAATTGATTCCCCTGCTTCTTGGCATCATGTGACCGTCTGGAGAAGGTCGGTGCGGCGCGGTGCGTTGAAATGGGGCTAAACGTCGCGTCCAAGAATATTGCACTTATATATGCCACACGAGATACCATGCCGCAGTTTAACGTGAATACCCAACTCAGACACAGTATACCGACTCCGAACCGAGCAGTCCTTGTTTTCAATGCCGTGCGCCAGGCAGGGGAATAACAAGTACCATCTTTTAACGTCTTTTGGTATGACGCGGTCGGGGATCGAACCCCCAACCTTCGGCTATCCGGGGACGCTCTACCACTAGACCACGGAGGCAGTCTGTCTGGAGAAGGGGAGGTCAAATAGGGTTTACTGCAATCATATAGCAACGTGCATACACGAGTGTGTGGCTGCTTGCACGACTAATGCCGCTTTCATAGTGATAGCACGTTGAGATTCGAACCACGGACATTCTGATCCGAGGTCGGACGCCTTGTCCACATGAACAAAGAGGTTAATCCTGTTAGCTGACTGGGAAGGCAAGGATGTCATCTTTGGGAGGACTCAACGCCCTGCTATAGTAACTGCATGTTTGACAACTGATGAAGCATTAGCTACAAGTACTTTTCATGCAAGGCAACTACATGGATGGGGTAGACTGGGTCTCTACCTTGGCTGGTCGCATGTCATGGTACACCTTATAGTCACTGATTACGTACAGGCTGCCACCAAATAGCTAAGACATTGCGGAGCTGGGTGTTTAACAAAAAACAAAAACGATCCAGACTCATAACTTATGATAAGCCATGATCGCTCGCTGGGTCCTGACAGTGCTTTTAACTGGCATGAGAAACTGGTATCGGCCCCAAAATATCCACCAGCCACCTAGACCTTCAACAAATGTGTAGTGGACTTAAGCTGTGTAACTGTCAACATACTTCCTGTTTTTGGTAGCCAGTAATGGCTAGATAAACAAGGCACACCACTTGTTAGGGGCCCGACCATAAAGCAGTGGTACCTTAATCGGAATTGCAGCAATATTCTTTGTGTGATAGGACACAGACCAGTAATGGACAATCATTAAGCAGTACAGAATGAACGAAAGTATGCTGTGTGGTGAAAGTGGGAATTCTGTTTCAGAATCTGTGTCCATCTTATGGTTATTTCTTATGTTGAAACAGGATTGCACCTTCCTGGGTGCAGTCTTTACATTTTTTGTGTCTGGGATTCTGAAATATTTTCTTTTAAGTGTTGCTTGAATGGCTGATGTCTTAGGTGACTGAGTAATTATTGCGTAACCCTGCATCAGCAATCTTGCTGCTGTTCATGGCAACCAATGTGTAAGGACTGCATTCCTGTATGTATTGATTGAGTATGGTTTTACACTGCTTTTAGCAATATTCCAGCAATATCACTGTGGGGAACACTAGAAATGGGCTTCACACATTGTACCCATGTGGGGAATCAAACCGGGTTCGACATGACGAGCTCAGTGGGCTACCCCAGCGCCACGAGTATTGAGTGGAGTGGAGTGAGTGAGTGACCTCAGCAACATTCCAGCAACTTCACAGCTGAGAACACCCAGAACCTGCTTCACAAAACACACCCAGGATCAACCCTGCTTCTTTGGTCAGAATGAAAGTTCTAACCCCCGAGATCCTCAAATAATCAAAAACAACATAAAAGGAAATCATAGTTAAGAGTTGTGTTTATTAGCAGAACATGCCATATCATCAATATAATAATAATAATAGCATATATTAAAGAAACTGACGTGACATAAGACCAGATAAAACAAACTGACACAGTTGCTACAATATGTATACACTGCTATCATATTGTGAGGCATGTACACTCACTAAAGGGTCACAGCAACAACTCTCTCTACTGTCAGTTCCATTCGTACCATGCACACAAGTTCACCTCTGCCAGTAAGCAGCCGTCAGTCTAAAACCCAGAAACATGTCCTCCACGTGGTCCTGAGTGTACACTCCGATAACGTGTCAGGCAAAGAGATGGAGCCAGTGGATAGATTCCAGTCGGTAGAGATAATCAACTGGTAACAGGCGAACCGCCTCCTGCTGAGAACTAGTCAATGACTACAGAAAGCTCCGACACATGCACAATAAATAGACAGATGAGAAGATGCTGGCTCCAGGAGAAATGGCATGAAGTGGCGGGTGTCATCAGGAATGAGGTTCTGGAGTCATCTTCTGCGTACTGGCAGATACACAATCACAGTTAAGCATGCACCACACAGTTTTCTGTGACACTGAACACGCAATGATTTCTCCCCCAGTCTGCACATAGGAACAATGATTACTCCCTCCCTCCCCAAAGTCATGCTGTGGCCACGCCACTCTGAATAAAATGTACAAATTTCAGTATACACATTAGTTCTGTACATATAATACACTGAGCTCAAGACAGAGGTCGACGACTACGATACACAGGCCTGTCTCAGTTTCCTTCAAAAGACAAGCTACATATCCTTTCAAATGTACCAAATGCTCCATATACACAATATATATAGATTTTATTTTGAATAATATCGTGAGATAATCTGAGATCTTCTCAGAGACAAGTTGGTTGTTGTGTCTTCACCCTGTGCCCGACACGGAGACCATTGTAAGACATTTCCAAAGGGCTAATATTCCCAGAAGCATAGATGTGTCTAAAATCAGATAGTGCTGTTATAAGTTTTCTACAGTAAATATCACCTTAAAATGAGTGGAATAAATAACTGGATATAAAAATCACTAAGTACACGACATCATGAGCTGTAAATTAAATGAATTTGATCTATGTGAAAAGGTGAACATGATGTTGATAATCCTCACACAGAAAATTCGAAGTCGTGTGTACCAAATGTCAATCACTAGCTTAAAATCTCTTCAATATATTTAACCTCAAATGCATAGGATGGACACATGTTTATTGCTAATTTAATTTTAACAATATGCTCTCCAATCATATTGCTTGAACTAACCGGTTCTTAGGTTCTTTTGATCACACAGCTTGACTATTTCAAGACAGCGACCTACCTTATTAACTTATGAATATGAAGAAAATGGCAACTGTTTTAAGTTAATGATGGGTTGACTTACTGTACACTGAATCAAGAAATGTCAAAATTGTCTGCGAAAATGATCTGGCCTTTCTGGTAACACAAACACAGACACCCATTTTGATACTGAGAACATGAACATTTGACGGTGCCTACAAAAAATGAATAAAAATGACAGAGAAAGCTCTAGTTTCTGATATCACATTCATACACGTAAAAACACCACTGTTCATATCTGTACCACAGACAAGCATGAAAAGGTATATCCGTAAACATCTCATTGCATCAAATATTGGCTCATCCGTTATCCAGTGTCCATAATAAACCTAACGTATTTCCGTTCTTATTAGGGAACACTACAACCGTGTATGTATGGAAGCAAGCCTGCATGATGCTACACTGACACCGATACAGTGATAGCTATAGACCAAGCCCTAGCAGCAGGAACAGACATTAGCAGACAGTTCTCACTTGTAGGTGTGCATATGAGAGTCACAATGTCGGCTAGCACTTCGGTTCTACATGGAAAAGGCCACAAGTCTTCTTTTTTTTTCAAATTATATTTTTTTTCCTTTTGACTGGCTGCGGGATAGTCATGTGATTGGAATACAGCTGTCTGATTGGCCAGTGTGGAGCCAATTGCAGGCTAGGTGGGTGTGTATCACACGGCACAGCACTCGTTGCTACATGAGTTGATGATGGAAGTGTCACGTGTCAGACATGACCGGAGACTGGACACTGCGAGGGTCATCCTTCTGGGCCTGGGCTTTCTTGATGTACAGGTTCAGAAGCTTCATCTGCAACAGCAGGGATGAAAGAACATGTCAAGCTACTCAACAGGTGGAATCCCTTGACATATCACCTAAACGGAAATATTGCTGGGTCAATAATCAGTCCACTGAACACCATTAAAATCAGATCTTACTTCTCGCTACCGCTAAACAACAACCTTTCATCTGACCAATCAAAGCGTTGCTTACCAGATCATGAAAGTGACAGTCGGAATGTTTTCTAATCATGCACCCTCGAAAATGTTAACACAGGATATTCCGAACAACAGTTATGGCCCGTAGACTGATTCCGTAAAAAATATCGTCTATCTCTCGCTACCGTTATGTCATCCATTAAGCAAACATGGAGACAAGTGTTTCTTTATATCAGCAGGCCAGAGGGCATACAAATAAACTGTTCCTGACTTCCACAACTAAATGTTCAAACTGGCGATCTTACAAATATCAGATACTCCATGATCACTCAGTTAGCAGAAACCTGGCATCAATATAGCCTTCAGAACCTCAGTGTTTGCCTACACATATCTCTATGCCTGCCACCTTTACACAACTACAGTCCCCTTACCTTGCTCCCAGACAGCTCCTGCAGGTACGGCCTCAGCACCTCCCCAACCCCCAGGTGTATTGCAACTAGACAGAAAACACTGGCCTTCCGCACCATGCTCTCCTGAGCATCATAACCCTGAAACACAATCAACACTGTCACACTTGCCTGTTGCCCGTCAATGGTTCTTCAATTACCGCATAACTTAATCCGAAAACAATAACATGAGTAAATAGTTATGTACAAATAATTCACTTCATTATATTGGATGCCATTACCACAAAAGGAGAAATGATTAACTTAAGTACTGACAATGTCCTTCTGGAAGGTATAGTGGCATTTCTGAGTTAGTGAGTGAGCTGGTTTTTACACCACTCTCAACCATATATATAAAATGGTTTGAAGTCTCTATGTCAGAGGCAGGCACAAACTGAAACATTCATAACTTTAATAAAATTAAAAATAACCATTTGTTTTTAACAATGGTTCAAAATAAGGGCAAATCTGGGGTTCAAACCCATGACCAGCAAATCCTATGGCTAAGGACGCGAGGTACAGTACAACATGCAGTGCGAGGTGATGCGGACTCACCCTGAGTAGACCTGGGACTACGTCAGCCAGCATCCTCTCCAGAATCTCCTTGTCCAACCTCTCCACCACCTACAACAAAGTGGACAATTGTCTCACAAATAATATAACCACCTCAATAAAAAGAAATCCCCAAAATATTTGAATTTCTTTATTAAGCAAAGTTCATTAATTAAAAAGACATATGAAAACTTATGATGTGCACAGATTTCTTCACACCACTTCAATAATTTCATGTGTTAGTGCACTATCAACCATGTCTCGAGAGTGAACCACGACTAATGAGACTGGAGACCGATTCTCTGTGACAAGGATGGACCAGATATATGGCAGTGTCCAAAATCTAGGAGGGTCCTTGAGGGTGAGTTGAGTTTAACGCCACTTTTAACAGTATTCCAGTTATATCATGGCGTGTCAACTTAATGTTGGAGGAAAGCCCGATGTGATGCAGGTCTCAGACGTTTACCACTTGGGCGAAACCCACGAGCACGGGTATTCGATCCCACAATCATAGGAGGAAGGTCCTTGAAGTCTGTGACCTAAGAATGTAGGGATCCCTAACTCTTTAACATTATGGACATCATTGACTTTCATGCTTAATTTCAAACACTATAAGGGCATTGTCACTTTGAGGAGTCAATGGGCACCTGGAAGTCTGAAGCACCTTGTAACATCTCTGTCCACACAAGCAAGTGTTCCCTGCACCAGTCTTTGTGCTTTTGTCACCTGAGACAAGTCACAACTCTCACAACAACCAACCTTAGTCTGCATCTTGATTCCGGCCAGGATGACTGGGTAGTGAGCCGTCTGGACGATCTGGTTGAGGATCCTCATGCACTGCTCTGCGGGGATGGCAGTAGACAGGGTGTCTGCACATGCCTCTGCCGACAACACCACCTGCAACACAACATCACCCCATGTAACATCTGGTCACTACTGTGGATAGACTGTCAATGTCCCAAGATCAAACAATTCAGAATCAAGTCCTGATCCCATTTGCAGTTGTGTTTAAGAATTCTTTAACAGCAAACCAGCTTAATATAGGAGGAAATCACAATGTGACACAGGTCATCGAGGTTTGCTGTTGAAGTAAACCCAACAAGCCAAAAAATCTGTTCCTGCTCACTCTTTAAGATTAACTTTTTTCTCTGTGATTGTGCGCTTGTGCATGGAGTACTGTGTATGGTATTATTAAGTATTGAATGACCAAGGGAAACAACTCTATGCCACATAACCCCTCTTACGAAAAACTTAGACAAGGATAATACTGTATGAAATGCAAGATCCTTGTGCTGTTTGTGTAAACCGACAAGACACCGATCTTCCCTTTCTGACATAACAGAAGGGTGATTATTGATTAAACATGTATCAACATTAATGCCAAGCTATCATAGACATTCACCAGTACTCCCGTATCTCACAGACTGAGAATGTCGGTAGATATTTCCATAGTAACATGTAGGTGTTGTTTTTACCAGTCACGGGCCCCCTGCTGCGGCAAGTGATAAAGAAGTGAGACCTGAGAAGTTGCGGAACAAAAACCGCATCACACAGCCTGGTCTTGCACAACCATCTCGTGTTCACATACTACAAAAACCACAGAATTGTGTGTCCACTGATCCACGACATGTGTCAACACATGAGTGACAATTCACAAATCTGAAGTTGTTGCCTCAAGAGAAATAATCCAAACTATCTCAGTGTCTATCACAAGAAATATTTCAAATGCGATTCCTACATGACAGTATCTTGGATTTAGGATTCTCTTCCACAGACGAGCAGGTAAGATAACGTGAGTAAAGGGCATGAGAGTGTTCCTCCTCACCACAAGGTGTCAGCCTGCACGGTGTCCCGCTTACTAACTTCATGCCAAGCTAGCAACCCGATACCTGGGGAGTACTAGTCAGTAACTGCCAGTCCTGGCCAGGAGATGGCACATCAACACGACACTTGACTACAGTGATACTCTGTCAATGAAGATGGCAAGATCTGGGTGTCTGGCCTTTCATAGTCTCCTCATCACAGTGTGTACAATATTTGAGTCTTTGAAGACACACTGGACCGAAACTTGGCTCACAGAAACTGAGCATCTAAGAAGTGAGACTACAACCGGGCTGAATATGTTATCCCAGTTAACCAGCACCTCTCTATCAGAGTCAGGTGACCATCTCCCCTATAGAAACATCGGGAATGCTACTAATCTAAATGCAGGTAGTTTGTAGTTTAATGCCAACTCTCAAGAACATTTCAGCGATATAAAGATGGTGGTCTGTGAATAATCAAGTCTGGACCAGACCATCAGTGATTGAATTGAGAGCAGTGACCCATCAGGGTACGGTGACACGTAAGTCACCAAGTCTAACCCCCCAATCTATTAAGTCGACTCTTGCAACCAGCATAGGTTCCCATGGAATGATCAATGGACAGTCATCAGAACTTCAGACTGAGATAAGATGTGAGTGCCACCGAATATCAGACAGGACAAAAAAAACCTTGTTGAATCAAACTCCACTTACTCAACATATTTTCTAACAGACCACTTAAGAATCCTTGTCAACCTTACAGTCTAATATCAGATTAACAGTGTCTTCACCTACAAAAGTTATCAATAGTCACCATGTCTTAAGATGCCTAAGAAAGTTCCATAGCAATGAGACTGCAGATTGCCTGGGTCTCAAACCACTGCATACTTCAAAGTAGACATGTAACCAATAACACTGGTGAGCAGTTTCTCTGATTAACACGACAACACCTATCAACAGTATCCTTTCTACATAAAACCAATTTTTTAAGTTTCAAGATATAAATTCCCGAACCTAACAAAAGCTAATCCTCATTTCCTGCATGTGTACAGTAAATCTCCAAGCCTCCACTTCCCTCCACCCCAAGTTTAAATCAGTAAAGTCATACCCCTACCAGACATGACATAAAAGAAGAAACAAACCAAGTATTCAGCATGAAACTTGAAGCAGACGCGACTCCTCCTCACATCATGTGCCTCCTGCATACAATACCAACTAGTATCGTTAATTAGACCTTTATAGAGAACCATCTAAAACTGCCTGGGTGTCAGGTTGTGTTGCTGCCTCTAGCATTACCCCAAGCTATCATCAAATGATTTAGAACATCTTGTACCAAAGCTGTGTTTGAAGACCTAATTGCATATATCACGTATAAAGTACATAGGGCTAAAGTAGACATCATGTCAACCTGCAGTTCCCATCCTTTTAACCCTTCACTGATCAAAGTGATTCAAACCTGTCTCTATCACACAGTTTTGATTTCTCAAATTTGATGAGTTTGGTATCAAATATTGTTGTTCGGCTTTCACCTTTCAAACTGACGAATTGTAATGTATCAAACAATTCATCCATCGTCTACATGGAGACAGGGCACTCAACACCATCAACTGCCTCACCCAACCAGAGAAGAAGCACATCACCTTTACAGTAATCAAGAAGTTGTCATCCATAAATTGTGTCTACTTTGACCTTTCAAACTGATGCCAATGAGAAGGGACCATCAACAATATATTTTAACATAACACACATTTGTTTAAGAAACCTCAAAATAACATACATATTTTAAGAAATATTTCAAATGTAAAATTAACATTTATTAAATTTTAATTTCACTTTTTTACACTTTTTCAAACTTTGCATTTTCCTTATGAAGTGAAAGAATGGTTCTTGATTTCTAATCTTTTAAATCCCATCAGTACCGAGCAGTAGCAAGGGTTAAGACAATGTAGTGACCCGTGTACCAAGAAGGTCGCCAGATCATATTAAACTCGGATGAAAAGGTAATGGGTAGGGATTAATTCCCAGTGAACTATGTGACTGTAAACTAAATGGCCATAGGACACCCTTCCTTTATGCTGGTGTGAAACATGAGAGATGTGCATGGGTTGTAAAGTCACTACCCTCACTGTAGTGGCAGGAACCTGTAGGGTCACAGCACTAACTTAATATTCTCAAAACTGTCATGTGTATCAGTACCCACAAGTTTCGTCTTTATATTAATGTTTATTGAAAGATGTTAACATTCTGAACTGTACTTGTATGGTTGGTTTGAAAGAGGCGCTGTAAACATCCAATAGTACACTCTGAAAACTGATTATACATTTGCATCCTGGAGTGAGTGAGTGAGTGAGTGAGTGAGTGAGTGAGTGAGTGAGTGAGTGAGTTGCATCCTGGAGTGAGTGAGTGAGTGAGTGAGTGGGTGAGTGAGTGGGTGAGTGAGTGACAATATCACAGTGGGGAAAACCATGTATGGCCTTCACACATTGTACCAATGTAAAATCACACCCTGATGATATAGGAATCAAACCATGGCTACCCCACCATCTCCAAGAGATACAGATTATGCATGGCAAAGTACCTCTTTGGCTGGATCTTTGTGAGCCTCAAGTATTCTCAAGATGGTCAATTCGGAGTAATCCTTGAATCGGTCAGGCTGCTTCTTTAGAATCTCTCTCAGAACTTTGATGGCTAAAGCTCGAATCTGACTCTGTTGGTCAAAACAAAACATATATTAGTTAGTGTGCAAGTAATAAGTACCAGTTTCCTAAATACATTGAAGTTGAACAACTATCTGTTTGACATGAGTGAGTGAACATTGTTTCATACCATCAGCAATATTCAAGCTTTGTCATGTCTGCCTGTAAAGTTTGTCTGTTTGTTGTTTAACACTGCACTCAGCAATATTCCAACTATATAACGGTGGTCGGTAAATAATGGAGTCTGGACCAGATAATCCAGTGATGGATATCATGAGTATCGATCCACACAATATGATACGATGACATGCATCACCCAAGTCAGTGGGCATGACCACCCAATCCCATAAGTCGCCTCTTACAACAAGCATAGTCGCAGCTTACAGATAGTATGGGTTGCTGAAGACCTATTCTAACCCGGATTTTCACAGTGTTGCCTGTAAGGAACCGAGTTGACTGACCAGTGGTTGAAAGCATGAACAAAGACACATTGTAACTTGATCATCATCAGTTGGCTCCTACAAACACTGGGAACATGAACCTACTATGCCCCATGGATCTCCACAGGTAGAGACAGGTAACACTACAAGACACATCCCCAACAAGAACCATCATCACAGATCTACTTGCTGGCATGAAAATCAATCGCCAATGAAAAGTATGAATGAAGTATTCGCAAAGCATAAGGTCTTACATCGTTGTCTCCTAATGTCTCTAGCAAGATAAGCAGTATAGTCTTGAAGTGCTCATCCCACAGACCGAACTGGTCATCTCGCGTGATCTCCATCAAGGTGATCATTGCTTTCTGCCGCTCGGAATTCCTGGAAAGAAGCCCATGAGTCAGTGAGTGTACAACAAGACAGGACAAGGGGTGTAACAATACGATGGGATTGCATTACGTATTCCAATACTATGGGTGAGATACGATCCGTATCCTGATGTAGTATTTATATTTCATAAATTGATATCCTTTCTTTTTGCAGGAAAATCACAACCCTGAATCATTTGTTTTTAAATTTCAGAGATCAAAGATGAATATTGAAGGGCAGAAAGATATAGACAAGAGGGCAGTGTGAATGTTATGCTTTTCACAGCCAATTGGAAATACTGTAGAATCTGTGTAAGCTGGTTGTGGAACAGTTCGTGTTATTATTATCATATGTTACAACAATACAACTTGTAATGTAATGTATCTTATGTATCATGATACAGAGGTCATAAATGTAATGTAATGTTATGTTATGTATTGTATTGTGTTATTATTACCATATGTTTACAACAATACAACTTGTAATGTAATGTATGATATGTATCATGATACAGAGGTCATAAATGTAATGTAATGTATTGTATTGTATTGTATTGTATTGTATTGTATTGTATTGTATTGTATTGTATTGTGGGCCTTGTATCGGGAACAAGACAGTATCACCGTATTGTTACACAACTAGACTGGGTAGTACCGTACTTACGTTATATCGAACTGTGCCAAATGAATCAATAATGTGTGAGGAAAGCTGTCATAGGTTAATGTTTTTAATGACATAATCGGAGCACGAACTTAATCTGAAAATCTGTTTTCTTGTCCTCTGTAAATAAGATGTCTCAGAATACTTCTCCGAACTTTTTTGAAAGGACATTCGTCAATATCATTTAAAAAATTGAAAAACATCTTGGGACATTTTGGATGACAAACAGTCAATTTTCAAGAAAAGGCAACCCTTCAACTTATTCCAGGATGTGAGAATATACTTACCGTTCATTGTGATTGGATAATTCATTAAGAATTTCACTGATGAGTTCCCCCTGGTCTGGTGATGAGCCTACAACATACACAGAGCAGTCAGTACCAGTCAACACTGTTATGTGACATCCTACTTCAACACACAGTATCTCCTTCATCAACACAGCAGCCACAGCATTGTACCTCCCACACATGAACTTATTGCAGTGCTCATCTATCAGTGTTATATCATGGTACAGTGGCCAGTATGGTACACAGTTGCTGGGGCGATAGAACTAATATGATATACAGATGCTGGGGCGACAGGGCTGTATCATGGTACATAGTTGCTGGCATGGTACATAGGTCCTGATATGATACATGTTTGGGATGATGATACACAGATGCTGGGGTGATAGGGCTGTATCATGATACATAGTTGCTGGCATGGTACATAGGTCCTGATATGATACATGTTTGGGATGATGATACACAGATGCTGGGGTGATAGGGCTGTATCATGGTACATAGTTGCTGGCATGGTACATAGGTCCTGATATGATACATGTTTGGGATGATGATACACAGATGTTGGGGTGATCGGGCTGTATCATGGTACATAGTTGCTGGCATGGTACATAGGTCCTGATATGATACATGTTTGGGATGATGATATACAGATGCTGGGGTGATACTGATAGAGCTGTATCATGGTACATAGTTGCTGATATGCTACACATATGTTTATGATACACGTTAGGGCCATAACATGATACACAGATGTATCATGATGGAGCTACAGGTCATTGATGTGTGCCACAAGCACAGGGATGGTACTGACAAACCAAGGGTCATCATCAGGGCAAATCTGAGATTTGAACACATGATCATGACAGTCACAACCATGCAACAGTGACCTACAGTGAACATATCTCTACTGGGCCACCCTCGCCAGATATATGATGACATACAGTTGCTGGTGCGACACTCAAAGACTCGGAGAAACTTCTGTTTTATAGTTTGGTAAGATAATATTTTTGAAAGTGGGCTTCTAACCTAACAGAAGCATGGCACATACATTCAAACATGGAACATCTTGACATACAGGCTATTTCAAACCACAGCATGACATGTATTGTACTGAAAAGCCCTGAAAAATATTTATGGGGTTGTGCATAAAAATGTATATGCAACAAGTCTTGTATATCAAGGATCAAGATCTGCATATGCACTTGATGTTGCCTATCAAATCTTCAAACTGGCAAAAGAAGATTCGGAGCATGTGAGGGAAGTATTAAAATTAATTTGCCATGTGGAGTAGCTGTGAAATGCAACACATTGATGAAAGATATACCACAAAAACAAAAGATGTCTACACCTTTTCCAAGACATTCAATCATATATGTCACAAACACTTTATTCTGGCCGGATTGACAATGTGATGGATGATGGATGATGATGATACAAATAAATCAAACATTATTCATCTTTTACAATGACGCATGCAGGCAACGTGACAGCATCTCAGTGCTACAGCAATCGAAAACATTCATGCTCTAATCTATACAAGCATCACTTCCAATTTCAATGTTCAAACATGACATGTCAAGCCTTCTCGACACTTACGACTTTTTAAACGTATTGCATCAGATTAATAATGATTGATTGCTGGAAAGCTTACAATATTAATTATACAGGTGGATCTAAATTTAATCCGGATTCTTACATACATGCGGGCCATGCAACTTGACAAATTATCTAAGGTGGGTCAAGTTGTTATTCACTGAAGCTCCCATAAAATACTAGTATGGCTCGTTTGGAAAACAGGGAACATGCCAGGATGGTTTCATGAAGACTTGTGGCAAACGTCTGTGTGCAATTCAAAGTTAATCTCAAGTTGAGTTCATAACAGTGAGAAATGAAGAAAGTGACGACATTCATTGGTAGTGGTGACAGTTATCAGTGTGTTTGAAGTGATATTAGAGTGAAATGCAAACTACACAGACAAGAAATGAGAAGTTATAAAATTTTGTCTGGAGAGCACAAATGGTTAATAACACACACGTTATAGTTGAAAACCTGCTGAAATGTACAACATGTGTTCAGCTGTTGTGGACTTAATCTTTTTCTATCATGAGCTAAATATGTTGAGTGTAATGAGATCATACAAATTGTACCAACCTGTGCACGCACGTGCAAATTTAGAAAATCCATTCTTAGACTGACAAATATTTAGATAAAAACTTTATCATGAAATTACCAAGCGGAAGCAAACCTTTTCACATAAGTATATTATATATATATATTAAGAAGCACCTATCAAGGAATAATGTAAAATTGACCAAATTATTTCACTGTCACTAGACACAAGGATTACTACCACAAGTCATATCCAGATATCGATCATGTAACTGACATCCTCAATTGTGTGATCTGTCCACACAGACATCAATATCAGGGCAACATGCTTCAGTACTCTCACCTCATCCCAGGGAGCAGGGGGAGGGAGGGGTGTTTTGCTGCTAGAGGGGCCCCAGAGACACAAGGTACCAGTACCCCACACAGACATGCCTTGCACCAGAGGTGATGAAGACAGTGGTAACAAAATTGATAGTCTCGTCTTTCATCCAACAAGATTCACAAACACATACTTTTCCGCTTTAGGTAGGGACACTGATATTTCATAGCTATAACTTATTACCCGGGTAAAAGGAATAAAATTTTAAGTAGGACACTTATTATCATTTACATTACTAATTGAGTTTTAAGTGAAGTGTCTGGTGATTTGTATGACAGGATAACCCCAATGAATTTTGTAATGAATCTCCCTTTGCAGATAACATTTCATTTTATGCTTTCAACATGTAGATTCAATAGCAAACTTATTTTATAAACTCTCCAAGATTATGTACTGTATTTGCCATAATAAGCACCCTGAGTGCTGAGAAAATTGACTGGGGGAGAGGGGCTCTTATTAAAAAAATACAGAAGTTAAATTTGATGTAAATAGAGAACAGACTTCAAACGTTCATGAAATTAAAACCTTTTTGATAACACACTTTCTACACTTCTGTATTTACAGTAAATACAGGTTGGTCTAGAAGTTGGACAGGGGGCACTTAATATGGCGAACACGGTATTTCAATTCTATAAACAAAGACCAACATCCTATGTATTTATATCAGGTCGTGTTGGTCTATCATTCAGTAGGTGCTGATGAAGGAACTCCTGCAGAAATAACAGGGCGTGTGCATCTTGCTGGATGAGACTTACATTTACTTCAGACACAAGAGAAATGAAACAGAAACAAACAAAAATATCGATTGAATGATAAAATCCTCACCATACGAAGGGGACCCTAGCAACAGGGTGTGCCATGGAGCTAGGGGGAAATCAAGGGTATTCAAAAAATAATTACGACAACTCTCGAGATCTCTCTGGGGAAAAACTGAATAGAAAACACCTCGTTATGAACTAATACTAGGAGTCATGGACAATACCACTGAAAATAATACACAACACTACTGTAGCAAATAAAACCACAATATAAGACCAGAATCACCAGACAAAAACATTTAGATGATGGATGATGAGTTTGTAAGTGTATTATTGTGCATACACTACGGAGTGGAACTGGCCACTACAGGCTACAATGGAACACATTATTATCATGAATCATAATACTTTTACATCATAACCTATGTCAGCAGTGTCTCAGCCACATCACAGCAGTTTGTCATCATCGGTGGTTACGTTTTCTGGCAATCTCATTAAAATCTGATCTAAGTTCTCGCTGCCGCTAAACAAAGATCTGAGGACATCCCATTAAGGGTCACGTCAGAACGTCCTTTTGCAAACATGGCCTCCAACTGAAACGACTAACAAGAAGTCGACATCAGCCAATTAGAAAGCAGCTTTCTCAAGCTTTACGGCACTCATTTCAATCTGGCGACTTCCATTTGAGGCTACGCTTGAAAAATATGTTGACACAGTTCTTGATTAATTTTTTAAAAACTGAACAAACAAACATTCCGGAATGTCTTCTACATGGTTGCGATTGTATGGCAGTGCTTCCCACAAACTGTGCAACGCCTCCTCCGTTCAAATGTTTCTCCCATGGAAGCGAGAGATAGACGATAATTTTGACAGAATCAGTCGTACAGGCCGTAACTGTCGTTTTGAATACCCTGTGTTAACGTTTTCCAGGTTGCATGATTAGAAAACACATTCCGACTGTCACTTTCATGATCTGGTAAGCGACACTCTGATTGGTCAGATGAAAGGTTGTTCTGACGTGACCCCTAATGATGTCCTCAGATCTTTGTTTAGCGGTAGCGAGAACTAAGATCTGATTTTAATGAGATTGAGTTTCCAAGAGCATGGTCCCTTAGCCCACAGCAATGACCAACGTCCAGCCCAGAGCTGTCATTACCAAGGTGACATACTATAGTTCTATCCAGTCTCACTGGCAGTTACACGATTCACCTTCTAGCAAAATGGCATTTTTACCTGATGTAGGATTTTCATAAGCTTGGTTTAACACCGCTTTGAACAGTATTTTCAATTATATCACAGCGTGTCAACCCTATCTCATCAGTCGCCTCTTTAAGACTTACGACAAGCAGAGTCACCTCTTACGGCAAGCACAGGTTGCTGAAGACCCATTCTAATCCAGATCTTCACAGGTTCCAAAGTGAGCTACGGTAGGTCTTAAACCTTTCCCACTTTGGCAAAACTCATGATCATAGGCATGGTGCTGATAAACCTAGAAACATCATCAGGAAGAATCAAATTTACGACCATAGGTTCCTGGCAAGCAAGGGGGCGCAACTCTGCACAGCTAATTGCAGTGCATGGGCCACCCATGCCCCTAACAGGAAGCCACTGATTCCTGGCCATGTCACTGCTGTGTGAAGGCGTTCTGAAGTCGCAACGCACTAGTTCTCAGTTGTCATCATCACATGACAAGCATGTGGCCAGAGAGCTGCTAGGAACCACTGTTGCCATGAGGTATATAATTGTGTAGAAACTCCCTTGTAAATCCATTTGGACAGATCTAATTCCTAAAGGAACACTGTTGTATTGTGACTGCTGTGTCACCTTCACAGTTTGGTCACAAGTAATGAATGCCAGCATGCAAGGTATATTTTGTTGATGCAGTTTGACGGAGTAACACACACCATTTCTTTTTAATCTAAAGCATATATAACTACATATTAAAACTACATCTATGAAAACGTCTATTCTAACTCATGAATCTTGAAGCATGAATTATATGACAACCAACCCTCAACAGCTATGAACAGCGTGTTGTCCTTCTCACCTTTATTGAAAAAGTCATTCTCTCCATCATACACTGCCTCAGCCAGGGCAAGCTTGTTATTGTACCCATTCATTGCATTCTGAAAATAGAACATGAAGACAATGTAAACTATTATTTGTAGGTTCCTGAGCTAGGGGAGAGAATGAGTGTGGTCAATAGGGCTGGGACGGGGCACTCTGAGAACTGGGAAAGGGCACTCCGAGGGCTGGGAAGGGTAACTCGGAGGCTGGGACGGGGCACTCCGAGGGCTGGGACAGGACCCACAAGGGCTGGGACGGGGCACTCCGAGGGCTGGGACGGGGCACCCACAAGGGCTGGGACGGGGCACCCACAAGGGCTGGGATGGGGCACTCCGAGGGTTGGGATGGGGCACCCACGAGGGCTGGGACGGGGCACTTCGAGGATTGGGATGGGTAACTCCGAAAGCTGGGGAGGGTAACTCGGAGGGCTGGGACAGGTAACTCGGAGGGCTGGGCTGGGTGACTTGGGCAAAAAAAAGAAAAAAAGTCTTGTCATGTAAATTTTCAGGTTTTGCTTATAAAGATTACTTACAAATTGGTCTTACAAGTTGGTCAGGTGTGCTTTTTAAATACATCGAATATGGTATTTCAGTAATACAACCAATATGTGTTAATATTAGGTTATTTTGGTCCAGCATTCAGTAGGTACTATTGAAGGAGTTGCTGCAGAAGTAACAGTGTGTGCATCTTGCTGGATGAGACTTACATTTACTTCCGACACCAGAAATGGAAATAGACACAAACAAAACAAATGTACACGGCAACATCAGCATGGCGTTCTAGACGCTTGTGGACAACTCACCCTATTCCTGACTTCCTCCTGGTAGTGTGAGGGGTTATAATGAAGAGACCTCTTCCCACCATCCACAGCATCGGGACTGTCATTCCGCAAGTCCTGAATCCCAGAATCCTGTGATGTGAACTCACGTTTCTTTTTAATATCATCGTAATGGTCCAGTTTGCTGTTTATGCTAAGATTTTGGATATCAGCAGAAGTCTTTTTAATGGAATTGTAAATGTCCTCTGGGTTCAGGTTCTCGGTCTCAAACTCGTCTGGATGGCCGATACTTGACCGAGAAGGTGGCCTGCTCCTCTGCTGCCCAGGGCTGGCTGCATTTCGGGGAGACAGTACATCCATTGGTTCGCTCGTTGTGCGAATGTGGTTGTGTAATATCTTTGTGGCACCATCCTTCAAGAAATATTAATTTGTGTTACATGCATTCTTTGTCGATCAATAGAATTATTAGGCACTGCTGCTTAATCGGTGGGAAGTAAATAAAAATCTAATCCTTGTTGTTTACTTCGTTACATAGGAGGTGAGCTGAAATGGGGTTTAACATCGCGTCCAAGATTATTGCACTTATATAGCGACGTGTCGTTACTTGGAAGCTATACCACCTGCATGATTAGATCTATTCTCTGAATTCAACAACTTGACTTGATCAGCAATCACACAAATAATGATAACACAGGGTTTGACATAAACAGAACTCTGCTAGTCCACGACTAGTAATGTTCAGAAAGAACTAGTGACATTTCCTTGTGGACTACCACTTTTACCATTAAGCCGATGTCAACTCTGTAAAAGATAATTATTCCAGACTTGTGAAAATAATAATTCATTTTTACCCCTTAACACTTTAGCTAAAAATTAATAATTTCACAGGCCATATTTCTTCTTGAAATTGCAGTAATGTCATACTAGATTGTTGCAATAGCTTATTTACATGAAAAATATTGATTTATTGACCTGATTTATCAACTTACATAGCCCGATTCTATTGACAAGTGTCCAAATTAAGCACATTAACCTTAACAAACAAATCCTGGAAGCAAGAGTGTGAACAACTTACTTGGAATGCTTTGGGCAGCGCTGATAGCATGAGGGAAAACTCTGGGGCATTCAAGTTGAACAGGCCTATAAGAACTAACTGGGCAGCCTGGAACAGACAGGGAACACAGGAGTCAGTTGGGATTGAAGCTGCTTTGACCAGCATTTCAGTCTTATCACTGTGTCAGCTTGATGTGGGAGGACACCCAGAAGCCAGGCAGCCTCATGTCTAATGTCTACCACTTCGATGAAACCCAAAATCATGGTGAGTGAGTGAGTGAGTGAGTGAGTGAGTGAGTGAGTGAGTGTTCAGTCTAACACTGCTTTGAACAGTATTCCAGTTATATCACGGCGTGTCAGCTTAATGTGGGAGGTGAACCAGGGTTCGAACCCACAATCATAGGTTTCTGTTGTGCCCAAGGGATGCAACTCTGCGAGGACTGCTTTACCTTAGACAAATAGGCCCCCCTTTCCCCCCCAGAACAAATGACATCGTAAGCATCTTTAAGGAGATATTTAAAACAATAATTGATGTTATGGAGTAAATCAATGATGATGGTACACATCACTGTTCGGAAGCAAGTGATTGAGTTGTGTTTTACACTGATTTTAGTATTATTTATTATTATTCCAGCTATCATTGTGAGGAACATCAAACATGGGCATCACACGATTTGGGAATTAAACCCGGATTCGACATGACTGGCCAATGCTCAACCTCTCAGCTACCCACCACCTATTTACACATGACTATTCAAATGAAAGTTCACATAATGATATACCATTCAGTCTATGACACAAACATCACAACCCAAGGCAAACTTACTTTTCTAACTTCTGTGTTCTTTGGTTCCGTTGTCCATGTGATGATTCTGGAGACTGCTAACCGAACATCCATGGTATTTACAAAGTCGGAGGACGCCATGTGAATAATCAGACTATTGAGGTAATGCAACATGGCTATCTTAACCTGAAACACAGAAGCAAACAAGGGACGTAACTCTCCAGCCTCCACAACACAAATATCACATCTTGCTGTAACCAAATCTTATCATGCAACAAAGTCATGACTGATATCAAAACACAGGCAGATCTAAATGATATCACAATGTAAGTAAGGCTGATAAAAGGCTACGTGGATATGTTCAAAGAGCACAGCATGAAATTTGAGAAAAATGACTTGTCTATTATAATTAAATGATGAATTCTTTAATTTATTTGGTCTCACTGAGGTAAAAAGTGTATATAAGTAAATGACGCATTCCACAGTGTGTCAGCTTAATGTGGGAGGAAAGCCCGAAATAATGCAGGTCTCAGACGTTTACCACTTCGGTGAAACCACGAGCACAGGTATGGTGCTGACAAACCTAGAAACATAATTGGGGCGGACCGGGATTCGAACCCACAATCATAGGTCTCTGGCGTGCCTAAAGGACGCAACTCTGCACAGTGAATAGTGGCGCCTAAGACTACTGGGCCACCCGTGCCCCCTCATAAGATGAGCACTACTTGACAACCATTTGTTTCTCATCCACAACACCTAAAGGGGGCAGATAATAGAGGCTCCATCAGCTACTGCCAATGTATGTCTGGTCTATTACATGACAGGCATGATATTGTCAAGTCAGCAGCTGACTCGGCAAGAAAATGAGTGAGTGAGTGAGTGAGTATGGTTTTATGCCGCTTTTAGCAATATTCCAGCAATATCACGGCGGGGGACACCAGAAATGGGCTTCATATATTGTACCCATGTCGGGAATCGAACCCGGGTCTTCAGCGTGACGAGCGAACGCTTTAACCACTAGGCTACCTGACCGCCCCAGCAAGAAAATGAAATAGTGTGTGTCTCCATGGCAGTTGAAAATGCTGTACATGTTTCAAACGAATTCATTTCAATTCATATCTAGGATTACCCCTAAGAACAATCCTTACAGAAAATATAAATCATTAATGGTTTTCAGTTAGAAAACCACTGAAGTGGCTTCATCTCTTAGTCACTTGCACTGCTTACAGTATTTTCTAAAGAGCATGTGTTGAAGGAATAACCTCCAATGCTTTACCTTGCAGTGATTTACCTAGACCTGTTTAAAGGCCCATATTCAGCCCCAATTCTGCAGCGAATGTTTGTAAAAAAATCCCAAATTGGAATTAAACATTTCCCAGTACGTGTTTCTTATGTTACAGCTTCGTAGTGGTGACTTGTCTGTCACTGATAACAGAACCAATGCTGAGGAAGATGTTTTAATGCTTAGTTTAACATTAATGCAATGTCAAAATTCTTTAATTTGGGGCCAACCATTTGATATTATGGGGGATGGAGGGCTGTGATTTTGTAGAAAAAAATATGTTGTCCCCAAATATTTGTGAATAAAATAATTATGTTTCATATTGTTTGAAAACAAAATGTCTCCCACAAACATTACATTGTTGCAAAGCATTTATTAGAAAAAAAATATTTGGCTCATAGTTTTAATTTAAAAAATGTCTGGTGTTTTTTTTCAGAAGTAGGTGAAAAAATTACAGACATCAAATGGTCGGTCGCTTACTTTAAAACATATCCCAATTAAGAGCAAAACAATTTTTCACAATTTGCCTGGCAAGGGCACTTGTTAGAAATCCTAGATAAACCACTGTCTTGATTAAAAATCACTGAGTCTTCTCTAAAGATTGCTAAGTGTGCATAATCACAAAAGCACATGAAAATATATTGCAACAAAGTGGTGCACTGATTGACAGGGACCCTGGAGGTCATGAATACCCAACTCCAAATCAAGTGCATCTACTGACAACTCTGGAAATACATAGGAAACTAGAGATATTCAACTTATAGTACTATGTACCTGTTCCATGTGGCAATGAGGGTTTAGTGAACAGATGCATGTCTAGCATCAATGTCAAACAATCATATTAATCACCTAATTATTCAAGTGCTGATGAAAGCAATTGTTATTTTCCCAAGCAGGTTTTTTCAACATTATATTTTTCTAAAACACTTGAGAATTCTTATTTATGACACAAGTACATATTTAATATCACAACATATGACACACAACAGATTATTTATGTCCTTCCAGTTACTAAAACAAAAATAAAAACACATCTTAGAATTTCTCTTAAACATCTATCATGCTGGAACAAATTTCCATCATACATAGAATTTTAGTCATATTGATGAATGTGCAATTCTTACACACTTTTGCCTATCACGTGTTGATTAATTATAAACTTTTTAACTCAATATCATTGCATTATATATTTGAAAGCTAATTACATGCGATCAGTGTTTTGCTGAGTCATTAATGCAATAGAATTGTTTTAACATTAATTTCTAGATATATTAAAAGAAGAAATAAAAGTTTTAAAAAGAGACAACTCAAATTTTAGGACAAAACAATTATATGCAAAATATTAATACTAGTGTCTTCGATTCATGCATTTTAACTGACAGAACATGAGGAGAGTTATTTGTCAAATAGTCAACATCAAAACCATTATCAGAATTATCGACCTCTATGCATGTTCGAGTCTCTATATGGTTATTTTCATTCATATTCAGGACTCCATCAACAATGCCATACTCACATAGAAAGCAGAGCAAATATGTTTAACGTAAGTACTTTTTTCTACCTTGATATATTACAAACTTATTTTCTCAAACTTCAGTAAAACATTTGAACTGTCACTGTCAATATGCCAACAAATCAGTGAACAGACCAAGTACAGAGAAAATGCATCAGATATTTGCTGGGGCTGAGGAATTATATGAGAGAAAAACATCAAATGTGACAAAAGAAAACCTAAAATTTGAAATGTTAGAATTCATCAAAATAGAAAGACATCAAAATACATTTAAAATTATGCAAACTGGCCAGGGCAAGCTGCCAAGTAATAATCTCTATCCCTGGGAACTTATGACATTTTAATAATATACATATAGCGTATTCGACGTAATAAGCGCCCAGGGCACTCTCAAAATTAGAAATAGGGGGCTCTTATTAGAATATAATTTTGGTGAAATTGTTTCGTGGTTTACAGCCTGAAATGATACAAAAGAAAAGTGTGCGTATTATACACGACTGATATATTTTTCCAGACTTTAATTGTGCATATTTAAGGGTGCATATAACACACGAGTGCTTATTATACACGAATAAATAAGTCTTGTGTACATTGATCAATCAGAAGGGGTGCTAATTGGGATTGTTCACTAGCCAATATATTAGCAAATATCGCCTTGGGCACTTATTACGTTGAATACGGTAGTTCTCCTAACAGATCTCAGTATTGTCATATGAGCAACATTATATGCATAGTTTCCACATTTGTACATAGTTTGTTGTGCATATTAATTGATAAACTCAAAAGAACACTTAAAACAAAGAAACTAGTTATTGCCCGACAATAAATTTTATATTTGGCATTAGAACTGATTTATCTTATATTTAGCCTAATTTAAATGTAAATGTGTTTCTCAAAGAAATCAATCAAAGAAGATGATTATCAGAATTAATTTACAAAGTCAAACAATAATCAAAATGTGCAGCACAGTTCCATGCAAGTGTGCAAATATACAGACCCAACACAATAACACTTTACTAAAAGCACTCTTTTCACATAGACAAAACATACATTGCAACCATGTTGATTGACAAAACACACAACACAGCTAAATTGACAAAACAACAATTGCAAACAGCAAGCTGGCAGAGTTGTTTCCCTTGATAATACAAAACATCCCATGCTCACAACAAACTAATATTACCTTTTGCTAATTAGAGGCAAGAGAAAGAAAATATCATGTTAATTGATATAATCAAGCATTATACATAATCATCTATGATTATAGAGTATTCAAACATTGGATATTGGACAGTGAGAGGACGTCTTCTGAATCTACGTTTGCGGACTATCTAATGGCCCCCTTTCACTACGACCATGAATATCCCGAATCACCCCGAATCGGAAACTTTAGAATTACGTGATGATTCGGCCAATAATGCAAACTTTTGTGGCTAATCAGGTTGAAAAATATGAAGAATGCCAAGAATGGTTAAGAAACGTACGAATTACAAAATTCATGTACGGATCATGCACGAATTGTAAGAATCACCTACGACTAAGTTACGAATATGCTGAACGTTGTTCTTACTTAATTCTTACATGATTTGTAGTTGACTCGGGACATTAGTGGCTGTTAAGATTCATTTAAGAACTTCAAGAAATGATTGAGATATATCCACGAACATGAAAGATTTCCTATACGGGGTGATTCAGGATATTCGTGGTCGTAGTGAAATGCGGGCATAACTCAAAACACTTGTTTTAAATCCTGTAAGCAATCAAGCTTAAAGTAATATATATGTCACACTTTATACACCCTAACCAAACTCACATGAGCACATTCTCCTGACAAGTGGGATAATTTGGACAAATCCAACTTTTCATTTTGTCTCCTTTTTTCGCATGCATGTCTGCCAAATAAGTTGCAAAATGAGGACGCAAAGGAAAGGGCTTGCTGGACGCATTGAACAAAACCTAAATAATAGAAAACTGTTAAGGAAGCGACAACCAGAATTCTTAGGTCGGCATTCCACAGCACAACATTCACTGGCTTACCTTCAAATTTGGGGACTGGGTAGAATCTATGATGAATTTTGTAATCGTATTGAACTGATGATCACTTGGAAAGTTTTCTCTGGAAACGAAAGAAACACATACTTATGAACAATATTTTAAAATAAGTGAGCCTAGTTGAAGGAGTACAATAACTATTGATGCTAGACTTGAGGTATCCTTCATGCACCGACAACACATTTCCAGCATTAAAATGTAACATAATTTAGGGTTAGAAATTAACACTAGCCCGCTAGCCCAGGACTGGTACAAATTTCAAAATTACCCCATTGTTTTAACATTACAAGGGCATTTTATCTTTACCCGGGGTAGTAAAGTGAGTGAGTTGGGTTTAACACCGCTTTTAACAATAATCCAGTTATATCGCAGTGTGTCAGGTTAATGTGGGAGGAAAGCCCAAAGTGATGCAGGTCTCAGACGTTTACCACTTTGGTGAAACCCACGAGCACAAACCTAGAAACATAATAGGGGCGAACCGGGATTCGAACCCACAATCATAGGTTTCTGGAGTGCCCAAGGGACGCAACTCTGCTCAGCGACTGGGCCACCCGTGCCCCCGGGTAGTAAAGCTTTTCTGTTTAGTTTTAACCCTGACATTTCCATTTCTTATGAATAGTTTGTTTATTCTTGAATGTGATAACCACCCTTAAGGTGTTTCATAGCTATAGGTGAGTTGTGTTGAACACCAAGTGGAATGGTCAGATGTATCTCACAGTGTACCTGCTTTATAGCGGAGGAAACTTAATCACAAGCAACATGGGTTCTTGACATTGCCATTTCTACTAGACCTTGTGATACCTTAACTATTTGGCAGTTTGGCAAGGACTATAGGACTAGTGCCAATTTCTAACGCTGAAGGGTATGGTGCTGACAGACCAAGGATCATATTCAGGGGGAATTTGTCCTTCCAACCAATGATCAGCAGATCCTGGTAGGGCTAAGAGACACAACTCTGCAGAATGAAATGTGATGCCTTGTGACATCAGGATCACCTGCACCACAAAGAACATAAGATAAAAGACAAATCAATACATGCATGTACCCACCTAACAGTATCTAAAGCTTTCTGCAGTTTAGCATAGACTGATCCAAGCATGTCTGCCCCTGTCTTGTTGAGGAGGCGAGTAAGGAGGATGTAGAGCCAGTCTAGCAAATCCCGACAGTGGAGGCCAATCAGCTCCACGAGTGTGTCCAGGAAGATGCTGAACACCTGAAAACACAAACAGAGTGTCACCAATCACAAGACACAGACACAGACACAGACACCTCACACAGACACCTCACACAGACACACACATCTCACACAAGCAAAATTCATTAAAATGTTTAAATGAAACCTGTAGCTCATGTGGATGGTTGTACACAATATAGCAGCAGTTCAGGACCGATTGTCTTCTTGTGTCCAAGCATACATCTATGTATGCATGAGGCTAGCCAAAATGTACCAGGGCCCTGTTCCACAAAGCGATCGTAGCACTAAGATGATCATAACTCCCATACTTTAACATAGACTTACGACGCTCATAGCGCTCAGATCGCTTTGTGGAACGGGGCCCAGGCTAGTCAATACTGTCTACAGGCTACACTTTCTGTTTTAACAAAGGCAAATCACTTATAATGTCTACCTGTAGACTACTTTTTCTCATCTAGAACTTGTGCAATGAAAATGCTGGAAAACATATCTTAACAGTAATAACAGATCACCAGGGACCACAAAACCTTTAGGAACCTCTTTTAGTTATTCTAGTTGTGTTGTTTCTACTTTAAAATTTGTACTGGTTTCAAATCAAACATTTCAAAGATGTTCATATGTATCTACTGTCTAGTAATGGTACTTCTTCATTCAACTTACCTTGCTATGTGGATCATGGAACATTCTAGTAAAAATCTCAGTAACCTTTTTCAATTCTACTCGACTGAAAAACAAAAGAGATATCAGAATTACAACTTAATTAAAAAAATATGAAATTTGAAAACTCCTTAGACTAGCAATAGACAAGAGATATTCAATCAAATCAGCTACTGGTCAATGAGAGCGTGAAGATGGCTTAATGATGCTCTGTGGAATATTCCAGCACTAACATGACATGTGACACCAAGAATTGCTTCAATACGATGAACAAGTACTCAACTGCTAGAGGTGAGGTGAGGCAAAATGGGGTTTAACTGTCATGATTATTGCACTAATATAGCCATGTTCATGCTAGTCCAGGGAAATGCTGGTAGTATATCCCACTCAGACACAGTAATATGGGGCTAGTATAAATTCCTTCAGGCTTGTGAAAATTTCTTAATTTCCCCATTGTTTTAAGATCTCAGGAGAGGTTTAATGGGGTTTAACTTCATGTTCAAAATTATTGCACTTATATAGCGCTCTCTGTGTGTGTGTGTGTGTGTGTGTGTGTGTGTGTGTGTGTGTGTGTGTGTGTGTGTGTGTGTGTGTGTGTGTGTGTGTGTGTCTGTGTGTGTGTGTGTGTGTGTGTGTGTGTGTGTGTGTGTGTGTGTGTGTCTGTGTGTGTGTGTGTGTGTGTGTGGACTGATGCCAGTGCTTGACCACTGAGGAACCATGCCACAGTTTAACATGACACAGTATTCTCTGAGCCAACCAGTCCATGTCTTATCCCCATAATGCTGAGCACCAAGCAGGGTAAAAACAAGTACCATCTTTTAATGTCATATGACATGACACAGCCAAAGATCGAACCCCTGACCTTCCGCTCTCAACCACAACTATTCTCCTGTCCCAACAGAACAATGAAACAATCCCACACTGTGTGGTCACTAATGTGTTTATCCCTTACAGGTAGAATAGGTCTTCAGCATCCCATGCTTGCCGTAAAAGGCGACTATGCTTGGCATGAAAGGAAACTAGCGGGGTTGGGTGGTCAGGCTCACTGACTTTGTTGAAGCATGTCATCGTTTCCCAATTGCATAGATTGAAGCTAGTGATATCAATCACTGGACTTTCTGGTCCGGACTTGATTATTTACAAACTGCCGTCATATGGCTGGAATATGGCTGATTGCAGCATTAAAGAAAAAAAGAAAAAAACAAAACTAACTCACCTAAGGTATCTATTCATTCTAAGTAAATGCTGTAAGGATATGAGGCCCTCTTTCCTCTCTGTGTACGAGCCACTGCCAAGCTGAGCTATGATCTCCTGCATGTCCTGAAACATGATCACAGTCCGATGCATCACACGTCACACAATACAACCCCTTCACCATAATCTAGTTAGTATTTTGTACAGGAATGAATGACTCCTAGTGACACTGACATAAGTCAACAACATGACGAACTCAAACATGGCATACTAAGCCCGACTGATGCGATGATTATGATGATAACTGGCATGTAGGAACAGGTCAATGTTCTGACTAACATGTGCTTGTATTCAAGCAGTATTATTTTAAACATTCACGAGATTTTCATCAATGCCTAAATATACGACCTACCATTAATACGCATTGTGGAATTTTGGAAATAATTGTCAGAACTGACAGAATACAAAAGAATTAGTATGTGGTAATGAAGCTTAAAAGCATGTATCACAGCAATAATGTTGTCTGAGTTTGAATCCTCATTCACATTGTCCTACCTGGACATAAGCCTTCGGTCACTTGTTACTTCTCAAGAGTCAAAATCCACTATGTGTTTTCAAAGTGTTTCAGTATACATTAAGATTTCTATGATTGTTGACAAGACATAATCAATAGTAGATACACAATCTGCTTCCTAAACCATTACCACGCACATAAATAGCTGACAAGAAGGTAGTGTGACAATAACATTGCTACTACACGGACAACAAGCACCTACTGGGTGAAGTCCACTGACATAAGGCAGCAATTAGGTTCACATACGAAACTGTGCCAACATCTCTTTCACCAGTAAATAGCCGTTTCCCTCACATAATTATTTAATGTTTCAGTCAGAAAGGGGGGAGTTGTTTGTTATGTCAATTTTAACATATTCCAGTAACATAACACAGTGAGAAACAATGGGAATGGTCTTCCCACATTGTACTCTTATGGGGAATCAAACACAGAAATTGAGTATGATGTGCAAAAACGTTAACCACAAGACTACCTCACCACCTATTTCTGTCAATGCACTTTAAGATTGTCCCTTGCTTACTAGCCCAGGGTTCATACAAAATTTCAATCCCAAAATTCATGATAATGAGATAATAAGGTAATCCAAAATTGAGACCCTGCAAATAAACCATATCTGACCGTATATATCTTAACTTTGCACAGTGAATAACAGCACCTAAGATGATTGGGCCAGCTGTAACACCCAGTAGAACTAGCACTGTGGAAACTTGCTCGATTTTGTGTGAAAACATGAATAGGACACAGTGTTGCAGCTTCGGGTGAATTACATCTGGTAGGTAAGTAAACCACTGGCTTATTTGGTGAGCATGACTCTTATCACTATCACTTGATGGGAATGACAGTTAGTCACATTTATGGCTGAGAGCTATCTCCCCTGGTGGTCACACATCCAAATGCTCTTCCATGTTCATTTTGACTAGCCAATCCCGTTTTTTAAGACAAGCTTAAGCCACTGGGGAATAACACAGACTGAAGCAAGTGAGTGCATCAATGAGTTGAGGTGCGAGAGTTGGATATTACCCTGCATTTGAACAATATTTCAGTCATATCACTGTATGTCAGCTTTATCTGGGAAGACCATCAAAAGTAGCAGGTCATCAGCATTCATCACTATGTGAAACCCACAAGCATAATACAGCGCTGAAAGACCATATAGACCCTAATCATGCCGAATCAGGGATCTAAAGCCTGAAACAGCGGATCCTTGCATGGCTAAGGAATACAACTCTACACAGCAAATTGCAGTGCCTTAGACAAGGTCACCGTTGCCCACCCATTGAAAAAGACATTGACAGAGACAGTAATAAAACAACTTTAAAAATGAGTCTGAATATACTTTGTGAGAAAAGGAAAACTAGGGATGTCATCGTAAATCGCGATATTGATAAATTATTGATAAATACAAATCAGTTAATATCTACACTAAATTCATAATTGACTGAAATTAAATTGATAAATGCAGGTCTACATACTTAATTTTTATCGACACACATTCAGAATAATTAATTTTCTTCTTTTTCGATATATCAATAATGACGATACTTTCGAGTCCATATACGTCGAATTTCTAATCAATGACACCTCTAGGAAATACAAACTGCTAGAGCACTGCAACATAGGGTAGGTGAAACTAGAGGCCACCATTGACACATGCAGTTACCTCCTCCGTCACAACTGTGTTGGGAGAATACCGCAACAGGCTTTGTTGCTTTGACGAAAAGGAAAATACTTTATTTAGAACTAATTCTAATTAGTTATTTATTCTCAAAACAAAAATACTACAAGGAGGATGACTACGTATGATTACACACTCAGGAATACAGAAAAATATCGGCACACAAAGATATTTTCGTCAAACAGTGTATTACTAAATTTAAAGCTCTACTCCAGTGAAACACTGTTTCGAAAAACAAAAAAGTACAAATTGTTTTTTTTTAATTTTGTAAATTGAGCATATATGTTTGTATATGACCAATTTATTCCCGAATCATTTAAAGTGCAAAACAAAAAAATTAATTATGTTCAGTTGTGACAAATATGGATGTATTAAAATGGTGTTGTCAATGATAAAAAAACAACATGTAAGGATATTAAATGATAAAGACATGATGATGTGCCATATTTTCACTAAGTCCACAAATAACGATAAACTTCTCGTTAAAATGAAGAGTATTGATAGATTCATGATCCAACAGTCCACTTATCCAACTTGTGAAATGAACGTACTCGCACATTTCTCCCAAAATATAGTGATGATACATCACCAACTTGTCCAGCAAGTGTTGTGGATTGGTTGGATTTAACCCATGGTGTCTATAGTCTAATATCTACTAAAAAGAAGTCAAAGAACACTAGATTTTTTCATGGCATGACAGATTAACTATAATCATATGAAACAATCAGGTGTTCTTTAACTTCTTTTGAGTAATATACATCAGGACAGCTTATAAAGCATAAACATTCTTTTTGTCTTGCTAACAAATAATAAACGACACGAGATAGTAATTGTGAACAGAAATCCCGCTTCCTTGCATGGCCATCATCAACCCAGCTGATCTACATCCATACAAGCCACGGAACAACGGAATCTAAGAGACAAAAACAACATGCAGTGCCGATGCCAGTACCTTGACCTTCGGGTGACGATGTCTCCGATCCATATCGGAGTCCGCCTGAGCGAGTGCAAGCAAGACAACGCTCTCAGTATAAGTATTAAGTAAGTATTAAGTATCAAGTATCATGAGTACTTGTATGACAGTTCTACAGTAGAATGAGGCTACAGTTCTAATATGGGTTATATATGTCATAGTGACCCAATAATACATCAACAGTTACTGGTTAACATTTTTTTTTAAAGATTAAATTGTTAGTATCATGCCAATTTACAAAATACACTCAAAATATTATTTTTTATTCACACATAAAATAAATTCAATGTTATATTGTAAAACAAAAAGATCAAATTGGTCCTTAACTTCTTTTGAGTTGAGTTTGTATATTATGTATTTATTTACTGTTAGTTTTAATTGTAATCTACACAGGTTATGCATAGACCTGATGTCAGCCTACCTCTGATGTCCGGCCACTGTATGAGTTGTACGACCGCTCAGAACACACGCTGGATGTCTCGCTGGCATTGTCATCAGAATCGTACGTGTCAAACCTTTTCTTTGCCGGTCCCCTCTGCTAGAACACGATTTGGTTAAGGACTGATCAGTGCTCAGTAATATACACATATATATACAGACAAGCTTGTCAATGAGTGCTTGTTGATTAATACCACAACAGCAACATTTCGTAATTGCAATTCACAGAATACAAACATATATGATATAGCCCCAATTCCTATACATTTGATCATAAATTATATATTACAGAGGATTATAGATGAGAAAATGTTTCATTAGCTGTCTATACTCATCCTTTCTCAAACTCGATCTGTATTGGAATACGGTTTTCCTCAGCTACCACAGAAGATATTTACCAGAGCATCAAACAGAGCGTCTTCCACATCAGAACCAGGTCGCAGCAATCGCTGGGCCATAACTGCGCCTGAATAAAACACACATCACAACTATATTCCATCACAAGGATGCACATATGTCTGACTATTTTTAACGACAGAATACCCACAGGTGTGTTTAACATTAGGACCCCTTGTTTTTTGTGCTTAATTTCAAACACTAGAAGGATTACTGTCAACTACAAAATCTCTGGTAAATTTAAAATGTCAAAATGTGGAATTCAAGTAAAAGATTGTGTTACTTGTGATCAATTTCTCCTTCAATTACAAACTTTGCTTCGTGAGTGAGTGAGTGAGTGAGTATGGTTTTACGCCGCTTTTAGCAATATTCCAGCAATATCACGGCGGGGGCAACAGAAATGGGCTTCACACATTGTACCCATGTCGGGAATCGAACCCGGGTCTTCGGCGTGACGAGCGAACGCTTTAACCACTAGGCTACCCGACCACCCCCAACTTTGCTTCGTTATGTAGAAGGAAAACTTCCCAGGATCACACAGATCACAAACCTTTTGAGCCATGACTAACTTTGCTTCCACTCAATCTTCTTTCCCGTCCTGAAAAAGACACAATTTTTAATATTTAAAGGCAAGAAAACAGACGTGTATATAACAGGAGTAAGTGGGTGTGGTTTCAACCCACTCTAAGCAAACTTCTAGCCTCATGAATAAAGTGACCCAAAGAATGGGCTTCAAACATTCAATCCATGTGGAGGTATTAAAGTGAGTGAGTTTGATTTTACACCGCTTTTAGCAATATTCCAGCAATATCACGGCGGGGTCACCAGAAATGGGCTTCACACATTGCACCCATGTCAAGAATTGAACCCAGGTCTTCAGCGTGACAAGCGAACGCTTTAACCACTAGGCTACCCGACAGCCCCAGAGGTATTATAACTCATTGAGCTGATGATCTAATGACTAGTCTTCTACCCCTCCACCTCAATACATCATATTAACAGTGACATGAGACAATATTTTTCTTACTTTTCAGTTGAAGGTATCAAACAACAATCATAAAATAAAAAAAAAATAGTTGCAATAATTTATTTGTTTCACAAATAGTTCTTTCTTTGATAAGAAAAATAAACTATCCAACAATAAAAATAATTCAACATTAAGGCAACATTTTTAATAATAGTTGATCAAGTGCATTATATATAGTCTCCAGTCACTTTAACATTTGATAAAGCCTTCTAAGAACCCAATACACACACATATATAGCACTCAAAGGAAGTTCAATAACACCCAATTCTTTCATATTACCATAGTTAATATGTCATGCTATGACATGTCAGAAAATAAGAAACAAAAAATTAAATCCCAATTTTAAACCATAATAGTGAGTGAGTGAGTGAGTGAGTGAGTGAGTTGGGTTTAACGCCGCTTTTTACAGTATTCCAGTTAGATCGTGGTGTGTCTGCTTAATGTGGGAGGAAAGCCCCAAGTGATGCAGGTCTCAGACGTTTACCACTTCCGTGAAACCCAGGAGCACGGGTATGGTGCTGACAAACCTAGAAACATAATCGGGGCGAACCGGGATTCCAACCCACAATCATAGGTTTCTGGCGTGCCCAAGGGATGCAACTCTGCACAGGGAATCGCGACGCCTTAGACAACTAGGCCACCCGTGCCCCCAAATCAAATAATAATTTTTGCTAAGGGCATTTCATTTGGAATCCAAGATACGGAAAAAATGCAGTATACCGGTCGCCTTCCGCCATTTGGGTTAGGGATGTGCACGAGCTTGTCGCCTCGCTAAAACAACACAAGGTTTAGGGGGCTTGCCCCCACTCAACGGCCTGAATAAAATGCTTTCGTAAGTAAATGAAATGTTTAATTACCAAAGTAGATACAAAATACTTTATTAGTAGCATCAAACAAACATGGCGGATTGGTGTCCGGTATAATGCATGTGTACCCAAGACACATTCCTGGACAAGATTCATACATATCAAAACGTTCAAGTCAAGACACTCAGATCCAAACATTCTTTCTTCTGGCAAACATTAGTACTACTTGTGAAGATGGATGTAGATCTAACCGTAAGTGTGTCTGCTGGGACTCCCCTCCCTGCTGGTGCCCTGACTCCGAGGGATGCCAGACTTGCGGGGGCGCCCCGAAGCCATGGGGTCAACGCGACCTGAGTTGTGGGTGATGTAGCCTAGCCTGGAAGATGGGGAGCCTGACCGACTGTTAGCTGTTTAACAAACAAGTAATCTATACATACCGATATCAAAATAATTAGTTGCGACATAAATTACACATCAAATCCAAAAAAGGTTTAACCAATTTGAAATGTCCGATTACCATTCTTGATGTAAATTTAACAATTTCAAAATTCCAGAAAGAGAACCATGAACAAAATTCAAAAGTTCCATTTCAATAAATTCAATATATTCCATAATTACAGACTGATGGAAAGAACTGCAAAGCTTGAGTGAAGCAAGCTGCTCTATGACAAACACATGGAACAAGAATAACATTTTTACACTGTATTTTGTCTGTTAAACAAAGTTTAAAAAACAGTTTAAAATATTGAATTGGAGGATATACACAATGAATAACACAATGTAATAGCTGAGCTTGCATACATACAGCTCTAGACCTGGCAGAAATAAAGACTAGCAATGCGACCCACATGGGTACAACAGGATGCCACCCGATGAACTGTTACAGTGAAATGAGGTGCTGGACCTACGTCCACATTAATGATGAATGATGTTATGTATGAAACACAAGTCAGTATAGTTACACAATACACAATAATACTGTGAAGTTAAGTATGCCTGAATGGTTAACAGGTGTGAAAACTGATTAACTTGATAAGTTAGCAAACATACATCAGTTTATCATGTAAGGATATTAAATCTTTACAGATTCAAGCACTCCACAATTCCAAGATATATATTTTTTGTTGACATTAAAACCTGACCGTCATAATGTCTTGTTTTAAGGCTCAGCATATCCTAAATTGAAACGAACTAAAACAAATGACAATAATTTTCTGTGTCTGAAATTAAAATTTGCGTTTTTTAAGACCCATTAAGTCTGAGATGAACTTAAATTTCAAGACTTCTTTAAAGGAACTTAATCAATGATCAACCAGAAGCAGTTTCATTTATTTGGGATATTTTGATATCTTTTTCTTTGTATAATAATTAAGTAACTCAATAAAACAAGTATTGGTCCTACTAAATGCAAAGAAAGTTATCTTGGAAATGCAGAAGGTGTCATGTCAACAAACTTCAATTTCCCCATATACAAAGTCATACCTAAAGCACATTGCTGAAAAAACATGCTCAAAAGAAACGGAGTAATAATATTGCTAATGTCACATAAATTAAAACTACAGTAAACATTAAGCAGTATCTCTGCAAATCTTTCAAACTCATGCACATGAAAACTCATGCTGAATATATTCACATCATTAATTGTCTCATATCAATCACTCATTCCTGAAATGAGAATATGTTGTTAATAATGGATCTACTTAGATACAACTACATCTGGAAGAGTCAGTTTGTAGGAAACAGGTTTCAGGGAAAGTACAATGGTTGGTCCAGACCAGGTCAATGAGGTGTCAATATTATTTAGATGAATGTAACACTTTACAAAGACTCCACAAATATCAGGAAGTGAAGTAACATGGCAGACACTTTCCACTCACAATAAAGAAGCAGTATTGGGAAACATCGGGATCAGTTACATCAAACAATAAACACAGATGTCTAAAAGAGTTACCTCCCTTGGTTCATATTTTGGCAATGTGTTTGCCACACACAAAGGAGACGAAGTCTAAATTTGGGAGCATATTAGTTTGGTTTTTTTTGGGTTTTTTATGGAGCAACTTATCGCACATATGTATAGAAATGATTGATGAAATGATTTTAGGGTTTCACAGATATAAGGATACAGATTAATACATTACTGGCATATTTATATCATCAAGGTTATCAAAATATACAGATACACTCAGCAATGTTGGAATGACAATCTTAATGATAGGATGTTTAAAACAGGTCTTCTCCTTTACATCAAAGTGTTGATACAACATGAATCCAACTACCTCAAATGAAGGGAAGGATGAAAGCATGAGTTGAAAGCGTGAGAGTTATCTTCCCTTGTTGTCCTCCATCCCCAGCTCCTCACAGTGATAGCCTGTTTGTGTAGCTCTCAATACTAGCATTGACACCAAGCACTGCTCCCCACTGTGCTAGGCAGGCCACAACCATATATGGAGTTGAACTCGCAGCCGCCTGACAGTTATGTTTACACACAAGTGTACTGTCATGACCCAAGTATGGTGCTCTTCCCCCAGCTGAATTGTTTCAGTTTGTCAGTTTGAACGTTTAGTTTATTTCAGATATCACGTAATTACCTTAATGAGAATACAAGGGGACAGCAGTTGAGTGCTTTTAAAGTAACAATCTTGAACCAATCTCATTAAACAAACATAAATTCATCTGGGAAAAAGTCAATTTGAAACCTTTTCCCAGTTCACCAGAATGGCATTCCCAAAGACATACATATAATCCCACGACATTTGGGGTGAAAATGTTCAATATTCCTTTGATGGCTGCTTGCATACTAAAGGCAGTGATGATAACGGGAAGGCAAGGTCGCACACCAGGAAGTTAAGGTGTCGCACACCAGGAAGTTAAGGTGTCTCACACCAGGAAGTTAAGGTGTCGCACACCAGGAAGTTAAGGTGTCGCACACCGGGAAGGTAAGTAGTGTCACACACCGGGAAAGTAAGACGGTGTCGCACACCAGGAAAGTAAGAAGGTGTCGCACACCGGGAAGGTAAGAAGGTGTCGCACACCGGGAAGGTAAGAAGGTGTTGCACACCGGGAAGGTAAGAAGGTGTTGCACACCGGGAAAGTAAGACGGTGTTGCACACCGGGAAGGAGTCTGCACATATCCAAGTAATCTCCATATTCAGCAGTCATAGTATTTATCCGAGTTCATCAGGTCTAATGACAAAATGTAAGGACATGAGAAATTGGAAGTTTCAATACAGTGAAGAGGTCACCTAAGGAGACAGAACGGTAATTTAGTCTTATCACATGTCAGCCTAATATGAGAAGAGAGCTCCACATGACATGACAGCTTGGAGTGAGTGAGTATGGTTTTATGTCCCTTTGAGCAGGAAGCTTGTCATATGAAGGCATGTCACCGTACAGTGGAAGATCAGGAAGCAGGCCCTAGACATGTACCCCTTTGGTGAAACCCATGAACGTGCTGACATACACGAAGTGGTAGTGGAAATGAAATCTGGGACTGAAACCCACAATCAGCATAAGGGCTGCAACTCTGCTCAGCATATTTCGAGTGATCATGTGAACTGATGCACCAGATGTCGATCGAATATCAGATGATAACAAACAAACTTGGAATGATGACTCAGGTGTTGAATGAATGAAGGATTGAGGCTGCAGATGATGAATAAACAAATGAAATGATGCAGTATGTGATGAATAAAAAATGAATGATGCAGATAACGAATGAATGATGCAGATAACAGAATGAATGATGCAGATGATGACGAAATGAATGATGCAGATGATGACGAAATGAATGATGCGGATGATGACAAGTTGAATGATGCAGTAAACAATGAATTAACAAATGAATGAATGATGCAGGGGATGAATAAACGAATGGATGATGCAGTAATGAGAGATCCTGTTTATAGAGAAGTCTACAAGACACTATAAGAAGATAGTCGGCATGTCACAGAACATGCTTTAGTAGTTGTATGAGAGGGTAGCCAAAGGTCCCCCTCTCCCATGCAGCTAGTTCATAGCACCTAGTAACACCAACCTAAATATCTACCCCAGGAGTCAAGGGTCACTCTCCTTGGACGGGTGTAAAACACTGACAATGAAATGTATACCAAATCTACTTCAATCAGTCCTTTTATCCATCACTGAACATGTTTATGTTGTCTATGGAACATAATTTATGCAACTATTCAATGGGCATCAAAAGAGTAACACGCATGAATGATCAACATACTCCAGGGGTATGAATGTGTGGATACAAAAGATGGGGTCCCATTGTACAGCATGATGGATCTTGACATTCTCAAGGTTCAGATATAAACATCCATCTGTGCACAACTACAGACTTGCCATCAGGTTCGGTTCAGAGCAACATTAATGCAATACTAAAATGTCCAAAATGTGTAATTTAACATAAATTAATCCACAAGCATCTGATTAAAGATTCTTAAATTTGATGATCATTTCATTGCCAGTGTTTCCACCCCAGTATGATGATGTTGTAGTTCTCAGTCTCCTCATGCTAACAGTATAGAGTGATCTCCCCTGATCTAATGCCATGCTACTGTTACTCACGCTGAGACTGAGAGACACCTATCCGGGAGCGAGATCGGCTGCGATCAGGAGTCACAAGACTTGTGACCGTTTTACTACTCATGCTGCTAGACTTCTGACGAGCTGTAATGAAAACTGGCACTTTCATACACGTCCGCTCCAGGTCGGTGTGACCCAGGCTGAAACAAAGTCTGTTAAGCCCTCCTGTGTTTGATCTTGAGCTTAACATTCTAAAAATTATTTTATTCAGAAATATTTCATTTGAAAATTGTATTATTCCACTGCAATAAAGTAACTTTTTGGGTCGTAAGTTTATATCTAGCATATCCGCCACGTCAATAAAATAATTAATCATTCCAAGTATCTTATTTCTGCTCCATTACAAATCTATCTATTTAGGCTCTAAGGTAAAGCAAACACATTTTACAAACAAGGGCACAGATATCCCCTTAATTATTCTCCCTATGATGTTTCTCATCTATTTATCCTCGAAGATACAGCCAAGCTTGAGCCAAGCTTGTTTATTATTAATAGAAACATTCCTCACCACTACCCACAATAACAAACTCATATCCCTACCTTCCTCCTCATCATCATCATCGGGCAGGGGGTTGCTGCTGATGTATTGTACATACGGAAAAATCGAGAAATGAACATGATTCCTCATTTTTGTCCCCATGGAGTTATCACTGCGTGAAGGAATCATCCCGTTCTGGTAGTCCCCGACAACCATTTGCCTAGCCCTGGCCTCCCTTCTCCAGCAATGGTGTTCATCTACCCCTGATTGTGTGTGTGCACAGTTAGCTACCTGGCTGTGAGTCACTCAACCTTTTATTGGGAGATATACAATGACTAGCTAAACGTAAGGTCATGTTGATTTCAATACACTATATAATAAGCAGCCCTATTGGCAGAGTACCATACACTTAGTGTACAGCTACCCAACAGCTAGGCCTAGCACTGTATGGAAGTCTCCTTACACTATACCGAGCATGTGGTCACTTTGCAGACTTGTCTCAATATGTAGTAGCATGCACACGCTTAAGTACATGTATACATGCATTATCAATGGTATGCTGTTTATCCTGTATCAATAGTTACGTTTGCCTGTCCTTATAATATACCACTAAAAATAGGGCTAAGGACCAAGTGATTCTTTCAATCTGCCATACCACCTAATTCTTTCATATTACATGTATTATAGTTAATCTGTCATACCATGACAGATTAAGTATGGTCATAGGAACGAATCGGGTGTACCTGAACTCTTGTTTTTAGTAGTCGAGCTATATCAATATGTTTAGCATTTAGAATATATTCACTAACTAAGCATTTTCCTACATACATATTCCAACAATATTAACAGCCTATTTATCATATAATTTCTTGGATACATCAACATTTTTCAGAACACCTCTTTTTTATAGCAGCTTGAAAATATGGTTACTGACAAAGTAAAAACGCAATGTTTTCCCTTATCTAAAGCTATGTATCACAATATCAAACAAAATAACTGCAGCAATGCACAAGTTTCAAGCAGAATGCTATAAAAAGAGATACGCTTACATATCATGCCGGCCTACAAGTAGGTATTCACTAATATCTCTTTTCGACAGCCCAAGATCATAAAAAAACTTCAATCACTTTATATTCCGACTGAAGCAATCGCTTCAATTGCTATGCAGTGTTTACCTCAAGTGGTGGATGTTTATACAGGGCTTCGGGAGAGTAAGGTTTGAATATGTACGATAATATCTCCTACACGTATTGTTCAGGGCCTTTGAGAGACAAGCATTACGTTAACATCATAACTCTCCAAAAGCATAGAGCTTTCATGTATAATGTACAGCTAGCAAACAGGTCAGCAGTTATCAGTATGGCATTAAACTACAAGGCGTGAAATACATGGCTTTATGTCAATACATTTCCTATGTTAGGTTACTGCTTGTATGGAAGGCAGGGAATGATATAGCTGTATCTACAAGTTATATATAGATCCACGATTGATATGTTATCAGTGTTACAAATATATTTAACTGTCAAGAAATTCTTATATACCTGGATTGCTAACAGATCAGAAACTAATTGTATCAATGAATTGAAAATTCAAATTCAAATCATAAAAGTAGAAGGAAGTGTGATTAAGATGCAATTGGAACGCTTGCAAAACTGGAATTGGGAGAACATTCTTGACCTTGGAAAGTGGAAGAAAGCTTATTTACTTCCTGATAGTTTGTGCCATGCATTATCAGAACATGACCAAAGTTAACCATGCCATTCCGATGCCATTCTCTTGGAAATCAGCAAATAAACCGTTTTCATCCTTCACACCAATTACCTATCAAGTTGTCTTTCTTCATATATTATTTGGATTAACTATTTCAAGGCCTGCTTCTATTCTCAGATATGTTTCAAACATTCAGGCAACAAATATTTACATATCCTAAATTTAGATCTTGAAATAGGTTAATTATCCAGGTTATTTGATGTCTGATTTGTTTTCTTTATTCAACCACAAAGAAATGAGATATCTAAAGTTCATTTGTGTGTGCATACCTGTCCTGGGAAATGTCAAGGCTGAACAAATAGCCCTGAGTGTGGACCTGGCCAAGAACTGGACACCCAGGCCACAGACAGCCCCATAGAGTGAATCTCAGTGAATCTCAGCACCATCAATAAGATCTTCTCAATCTCAGTCGCGCTCATTTAACACTAATTATTTCCCCTGAATTCATATCGGTCATCTGGCCCCCAGCCAAATGTATTTCTTCACTAAGCTGATTACACACAGCTATGGGGTAAGTTACAGTCCTAATGGGACCTGCTTCATTAGACCTAGGTTATTCAGATAGAACAGATTGTGATCAAACATATCACATCTACTCCCTTCAATTTATCAACATAGCACAAATTATGGCTTTTTGAATGCTAGTCATATTAACGTTACAATTTATTTCATGGTCAATTTTCTTAACATTTAGTTCCTTAAATAATATTATCATTTGCTGAAGCTGAAAGTTGAAACATTTTATAAATAACATGTACAAAATACTGATGAAACAATACATATTTGAACAATATATTCATAAATGCAATAGATACATTCTCTATATTTTCACCTCACAGTACAATAACTAGCACAAGACACATCCTCAAATCTCCGATCATGTGCTAAATAAGCTTCAGATTCACGTGCCAATCACATCATCCCAGTCACATCATTACTAATATACAAACAGGGACCGACAGTCTATGTATCAGTAATGATGCAAAACTACTCGGGATGATTTTAAGTGTTTCTTGCCATTGCCATTTTAACCAATTTTGTAGACAACAAAATCTGAAGCAACTATAGCACATGATATGGCGGATATATTCGTGATGCATGGGGACTTTGAAGGTAGGTGTCTGGCAAGCTTCACACCAAACTTAAGCTGGTACTGGTACAATAATAAACGAAAAGCTTAACAGCCAATGTAAACAACTGAAAAGTGGCAAAATATAACACTATCAATCCTGTTGCATATTTGGGGTTGTGGATAAATTTCAATACACCGCATCTAGCTAGGATGATATATAAAGGGCAACTACTTACATTGGAGTCAAACTACAGCGTATGGTAGTACTAGTTCTATTTCACAAATTCTGTTTTGAGTATTTAAAATATATAACAGTTTGTAATGAGAGAGAAAACACTGAAATTAATTATTTGAATATTCTTAAATTTTCAGTAAATAAAGAACTTGTTTGCTTAAACAATCCAAATATTATCTTATCATAATAGCGAATTTGTGAAAAACTTCTAACAGGTATATATAATAATTAAGGAGGGTTCCCTCTAAACCAGTTCTGAGGTAAATAGTATTAAACGACTACTTTGGATGGAGATGGATACCAGAGAATATTTCAACAAAAGCATTTTCATAGGTCACTATATATATATGTTTAACACAAATGCTTCATGACTAATAACAATATTATTCAAAAAAATGTTTGTGAAAGTTTGTATAACTTTTTGAAGACAAATATGTTGCACAAAGCTTCAGAGAAATATCTCATGGTATCCATGGCAATATCTATACCCACAAAGAAATTTGAAAAGGTATCAAAGTAGGTTTTTGTAGAGACGTCATCCATTTGTAGATAAAATTCATCTGAAAGGGTTTGGATAATTTCAAATAATATTGGACATAATATGAAGTAAAGATGGCCGCTGATGATCAGAGAAAGGTTCTTGGGTACTGTGTGCGATAATATGAAATGAAAGATTTAAGTTTCAGAGAGATCATTGGCAAGTTTGTTCCAAAATCATGCTTAGAATGTGGATGGACTAAGACAAAAGAATAGCAAATATTTAGAAAATTCATTTCAAAAGAATGGCAATGCCTGCCAGTTAAGAAATAAGTGAAGAAAACAAGATCCAGAAAATCCTGAGTTGTAAAATGCAAAGCAAGAAACTATCAAAGAAAATCAACAATTCAATTTTGTGCAAGAAATGAATAAACGTGATGGGAAAGATTTGGACTAAAGATCAATGAAATGATGTAAGTTTTCACCAAGAACCTTTGTACAACCATCCAGACCTGTCTGAGCTCCAAGTGAGGAGCAAGTGGGTAGTAGAAGGTTAGTGCTTACGCAGTGAGTTGGTTGATCCCTTTGCTAGCCTAGTGGCCATTAACATAGATGATGAGCGAGGCTTCGTCGGGGAACCGTTTGTCCCGCTCAAATCCGCTGCGCTACTAGAACGAATAATCGTCTGAGCATAGGGAGACTGATAAGGTTTAGCTGCAACAGGATCAAAACGTGAAAACAATCGTGTCAAAAAATATCAAGTGCACAAAAATTAATTTTTCAATAAATATGGAGGAAACAGGACAGATAAGACAAGCATTCACATTTCAGCAGCGTATTAGAGGCAAGCGGTCTAAGTACCTGAGAAGTCATGTGACTAGGTGCAGTCATGTGACCCCCTGTAATATGACCTTTCACCAGCTGCTTACCTGCTGCTCGACGAATGTCAAGGTCGACTTCAAAATCCGAGTCTGGTGCGATGATAAGAAAAAGGCTTTATACAAAAACATGGAGAGACTTTATCACATAATGGGCAACTCTGCTGAACCATTGCCAAACGATGTCTTGAAATATTCCTTTTAAAGTTTTCTGACCTGTGTCCAGGGTTTAAAAGATTCCAATTATTGAGTTCTAAATTGATAGGGAGTGTTTCTGATGTATAAAGTGAGTGGTGCATATATACTAAAACTAAATACACATTCACACACAAGTTACTGAAAATGATCTCAAGAAGCTGTCACAGATTGCAGCAAACAAGGAATCTGAGCAAAGGGGGATATCAACCAAACTATACGAAAACAGGCAATATTGCTGACAGCAGAATGACACCATCCTGTGACATAGAATACGGCTCAACCATGTGTCCACTTACAAATCATTCTGACTGCCTGATACCGCCCTACATCTTCAGCCACGTCAACTGATTTCATCTCTCAAAATTGCATAAAAATAGATTACAAAATCTTCCTTCAAGTTACACAAAGCACTCTAACTTTATTTTTACAATACATGACTGTGGCATGTTTTGTTTACACATATTCACATAAACTGTATCCAGTTCATTAAAATTAAGTTGTGAAATCTATTTGCCAAAATTTTAAGTTTCGCAAAAAATTTAAGTTTCACCGAAAATGAGAATATTTCATGATATGTATTGCCTAATATTTGGAGATTAAGCATATTATGTGAACAAAACAAAAACACTGATTTACATCAACAATACTTAATAATTTTGACCTCCACTGAAACCTTTGTTTCTACATACAAAAATCAGTAAATATAGAGAGGCATATACATAATTACCATTCAGTTCACTCTAATTATTCTGAAACCCAAAATAAATAATCCTTAATACAGATTCCCCAAGTTACAATGATAATTTGCAGCACTCCGTGCTCCTCAGAAAAAAATGACAGCCCCTTTAATTGCTATGCATTATTTTCAGATAGCAATGATTTGTCAGTGGACAGATGATGGTGAACTTGCTCCATCAACACACTGTAATTGGCCATGCGGGCGAAGCGCAGAAATAAGACAACCAGCAAATCAGCAAAAAACTTTCACAGTTAATGAATGAAATGGCCGAAATATTCAATGTGAACATGAAGACGATTCAGGGTTTGAAAGCCACTCCTGCAGCCTAGACAAAGGAGGAATGTTGGCACGCTACTGGCAGCACGTACAGGCCGAAGTCACACAGTACAAAGCAGCAAGAACTTTAGCAAGAATGTTTTCTTTCAACTTACATCAGATATCAACATTTTGCACATATTATACAACAATGAACATTTACAGTGTATTCAATACAATTTAAGACAAATAATACCACCACCAAAACAAAAGACACGTGGGTGCGGTTGAAAAAACCAAATCAAACTGAAACCAAATTGAAACGTGATTGTTTGTTGTTTTTAATATTTTTGTGCATGTGTCTAGCGTTGTTTTAGTGGTTGCCCATCGCGAGGATGTAAAGTGCGTATCGTAGGTTACCTCCACCTGCATCACTGCGTGATGAGCTGATTCGAGCTGCACCTGAACGCCGAGCACTCGCAGTTCGGCTGAAAAAGAAACACCAACTTTTCATCAAACAAAACATTAAACCTTCTGCATTAACTGCACAATATAAATTAAACGGTGAAAACAGAACTGACATTAAACTTGACATGAAAGTGTATGAGAAAATGTAGATTTACACTGAAGTTGGAAATATTCCAGTTATCATGGTAACCTATGAATAATTTAACCTTGGCCAGACAAAACAGTGAGTAATAGTGTGAGCAGAGATCCACATATTTGGGTTTAGCAGCCTGGGTCAACTTGCACAAAGAGATCTTAGCGCTTAGATGATCGTAACTCCCATACTTTAACATAAGCTTAAAATAATCTTAGTGCTAAGATCGCTTTGAGCAAGTGGGCCTAGGTCATACAGAATCCTCATTATCAGCTCTTATGACAATGACATGATACCGAGGACCTTTCCAGCCCCATGATATTCACCATGGGAAACTCGAGTCCCTTAAATAGTGTGCATGCCTTGTGTGAGAGTTTCTCCCGACATACCTTAGTGTTCCACTGTCTGTTCTGTCGGTGCTGTGCGAGCGTGGTCGGGCCTTGGAGGCCACCTTGAGAGTATCACGGTCGCTGTTGAGGGAGTTGTTGCTGGAGGAGTTGCTGAGTTCTCCCTGCAGCATCTTCTGTTTAGAGGAGTCCAGGGTGTTTAGGAGGGCATCAGCCTGGTCCCGGAAGTGTTCAGCAAAGCCCCAGAAACCTCTGCAATAAAACAACATCATTACTAAGCCATAACATTAAAACAATTGGTTATGAAGCAATGCCATTGCTGGAGTGCAGTAATTATTATCTTCATGATGCAAGCTGCCCATCAGGACATTTTGCTAATATTAAAACGTACCTATTTATGAAAGTTCTTTTCATCACAAGATCAGCACGACAACAAAAACAACTTGCTTAGTAGTAAGAGAGAGTGCATGAGCTGTTATGCTGCTTTCGACCATATTCCAGCAATATTATGGTGGGTGAGGTGAAGTATGTTGTGTTCAAAATTATTGCACTTATATAGCGACTTGCATGCATGTGTGTGGCTGCTTGTACTAGTCCGGACTAATGCCAATTTTATAGTGCTAGCCCACAGAGGTACTATGCCGCAGTTTAACATGAATACCCCACTCAGACACAGTATACTGACTCCTTGTTTTAGCCCCTTAATGCTGAGCGCCAGGGTAACAACAAGTCACATCATTTAACGTCTTTGGTATGACGCTGCCAGGTATCAAACCCCTAACCCTCCGCTCTTCGGGCAGTTGCTCTACCACTAGACCACGGAGGCAGTCATATCATTGTGGAGATATACCAAGAATGGGCTCCACATATTGTAACCACGAGAAGAACCAAACTCTTATCCTCGGCATGCCAAATGCCTTCACCACTAGACTACCTACTGCCCTGTAAGGAAACGGGCGGTTGTGTAGCCTAGTGTTTCAAGCGTTCGCTCGTCACGCCGAAGTCCTGGGTTTGATTCCCAACATGGGTACAATGTTTGGATCCCATTTCTGGTGACCACTGCCGTGATATTGCTGGAATATTGCTCAAAGCGGCGTAAAACCGCACTCACTCACTCATTGTAAGGACACCAGAATCATCAGACTTACTTTCTGGAGAATGCCCTGGCCTCGGAGTCTGCATCACTGATGCCCCTCTTGATGCAGTCCTGGAGGATGGCGATGTGTTTCTCTAGGCTGTGGGTCGGCCAGGTGTGCAGCAGTTGGTTCAGGAACTCACACGTGAACCTGGGGGACCACAGCAACAACATCAAGCACTCGGGGAAGCAATCTCATAAAAATCAGATTTTAAACTCTGATATGATACCTCTGTGCGTTAAGATATAGAAGTTCGCGTCAGGTGATTTACAGGGTCCTAGATTCAAGTACTGTAACATCAAATCAAATCTCATTATAATCAGATCAATATGAGTTAAGATCTGATTTTAATTACACTGTTGAGAAGCTATTGGCTCAACATCATTGATTGGTTACAGGGTTCCAGTAATTTCACAACGGAGGCAAGGACATACGTAGTTCAATTGTGAAATCAAGTCAAGAATTTCAGCACAATAATTTAAGCATAAAACCACTAAGTTACGCAATTAATCTACTTCCTTGGTTGAAATAATCTTTAAATAAGTGATCAAGAAAAAGAAAAAGTATTTTACACTGAAGCTAATTACAAGCATCATCAGACCCTGTTAGAAATAAATTACGAATGATAGATAACTGGTTACAGTTGTTCTATTGAAGCTAAATGTGTTATTCAGGTAAATAGAGCTGTCTGTTATCTACTGTCAGCTACTCACCTCCGAATGACGTTGGACTTGGAAGAGAAAGTGCCAGTTATGATGGGAATTAGACGGGAAGAGTGGGAAAACTGAAACAGACCAAAGTCACACTGCAATCACCATGTCAACGCCACAGAAGGTGGGGTGAGATGAAATGGTACATAACCCTGCATTCAAGTTTACTGTACTTCTATAGTGATGTGTATGCACGTGTGTGTTTGTGTGGCTGCTTGTACTAGTCTTATACTAGTTTTATATAGATAGCCTACTGAGATACCATGCCACAGTTTAACATGGATACCCCACGCAGATACTGACTCCGAGACAACCAGTTCTTGTTTTATCCCCTAAATGCCAAGCGCCAGGCAGGGTAACAACAAGTAGCGTCATTTAACGTCTTTTGGTATGATGCGGCCAGGGATCAAACCTCGACCTTCCACTCTCCAGGGAGATGTTTTACCCACAAGACCACAGACGCAGTACAGAAAACATCAACAAAAATATACAAACAATTAATACAGCTTATCAGTTTTGTTTCATTTCAGAATAAATCAAGGGCAGGCTAATACGCAAAAACTAAAGATATATTGTCTGGCCATAGACAAAACAAACTGACACACCTAGAAAAACATTTTCTCAAATGAAAGTAGTCCATCCACAGAATATCATGATTGCCCGAGGACTCTAGCTAACATGAGTTGTCTCCCCTCACCTGTATGATGAACCTGATGCAGACAATGCCTGACGTGGACATGACTTTGGCACCGTTGGGGATGAGATTGAAGAGATGGGGGAACAGGGACTCGTACAGGTGGTCAGCCTTGTGGCCTATTGACTTGGCCAGGTAGCTGTGGAGAAGGAGACAATGTATTCCACTGACATCACATCATCTATTCTGTTATCATGATCAGACAAATAAAGACAGTATTTGGTACAGTTCTAATATATAGATAAAAAAATCACATAAATGAAAAGGGAATGTCTTAGACTTTCAGTTACTTCATATATTCTCTGTCTAGTGTACATAAATGCATATCTGTTTGAAAGGATGGCATGGAAAGAAAGTACCGCTCCTATCAACTTATCAAAAGACCTGGGAAACATAAAGCTTTTTCTGTTCACTCTTATGTACCTTGTTCTATAAAGGCTAATTCTAAGTGAGTTAATGAATTGGGTTGTACGCATATATATATCTATATAGGTGATGTGGGTCACCAAATGACTGGAAATGGTTGACAGCAAAGAGGACTTCTGTTGAAAATCTTAAGATTGTGATTTTTGGCACTGATGTAATGGAGGTGTGTATTCGTTAGAATTATTTCTGATATAACGGAGCAGCACTGTACTTACGCCACTGTGATGCAAGCCTCTCTGACCACCTGAGATCGGAGGTCCTTGACAGCAAGCATAAAGCAAGGTTCCAGTGTCCGCAGCAATTGGAAGAAGTCGTCATACTCTGCTGCTCCGTTTACTATCAGGGATCGCAGTTGCTTCATCTGAATAGGATAAACATCACAGTTTAAACTGAATTGATGATGACCATGGGCAAATACAACGTCATGATAAAATCTCAACAAGCAATAACAGCAATATTTCACCTATATGGAAGCGAATACAATGACATGCATCAACCAAGTCAGCAAACCTGATCACCCAGTTCTATTAGTCGCCTCTTAGGCCAGGCAATTTTATATTTTTGGGATTATGGACCTGCAAAAAATGGGGGGGGGGGGGATCAGATTTCCAGTAAAGAGATACATAATTGATCTTTGTTGCTTTTGAGCACAGAATATGTTCATAAAGTATGCCAGAGGCATTCTGCATTAAAATAAAATGCATTTGGCTTTCTTTCTTTTTTTCCCTCCTCCAACCCTGGACTATGAGCTGAAAAATCTGTAATCCTAAAAAAAAAAAAAACCTGGCCTTATGACAATCATGGGTTGCTGAAGATCAATTCTAACCTGGATCATCACAGGTGAGTATTGTTTTAAAAATATTCATGTCACATTAAGGCATGGGACACCAAGAATGGGTTCATCATACCAATGTTGGAATCAAACCCAGATCTTCAGTTAGACCAGTGAACACTTTAATCCCCTGGCTATTGTAATTTAACATCATAGACTATTAACATAACATTTTTCTCTACAAATGATAGAAATTCTTCATAGAAACCTAAAGATAAGAAGTCAATTAACAACATTGGACTCATACTCACAGAATCATTTCGTTTCTCCCAGTCTTTGCTGGGATCATTTAGGATAGCTTCGATCTTCTTGATGTTGTCCTGCAGATCTCTGGCAGAGTACATCTGTGAGGCAGAACAGTCAGTCATACAACACAGTGAGTGAGTTGACTTTTAATAAGTGCCCCCATCTGTCAATTTGCTTAATCCCCTTATTTCGGAAAATATGTTTCATATCTAGTCAGCAGGCACTGTGGCCATGAAATCAGCACTTAACCAGCATTAATGAAAAGCATTGCAACAATCACAGTAGGCTAACATTTAGTCAATGAAATCTAATGTTACACAATACTCTTCTTGAAAAAATAATTTTCACTCTGCTGATTTCATGTGGAATAGAGACAGCTAGAGCTGGCTAGACTTGCTTTTGTATACGTTTCTAGATTGTGTTGGTTTTTTTTCATGAAATGAATATATTCCACAGTCATGGTGCAGGACCACAATCACAGTTGTCTGATATAGAAAGAAAAATGAACGTACTGATACTTTGGGAACATCTTCGAATGACTTGATGAACAGTTCCTCATCCACTCCGCCAGATACAGATGTTGCTGGAAAAACAATTCAGCTCTATAGATATGGCAATATATTCTTCAAAATCAACAAATGAAAATCAAACAATACACCATGACGATCAACATCTAACAACAGAAGTATAACCTAGAACAGGACTAGTCCACTGAAATGAAGAGTGGAGGGAGATACTTTTCCTCGACTGTAACAGATTAATGAAAGTGTATAAACAATCACAGTACATGCATTTCCTGTTCAATTATATTTTCTTTCAAACATATCCCAAAGGTGCAAAGTTCCTCACATCACAAAACATGCAATACTATGATAGTATTAAACATCTTCCAGAAAACACATCTACAAAAGTTTCTACAGGACATATTGATCACTTTAAGGTACAAGATTCAATCCATCTATCAATATCACACGCCAGATCTGTTCAGTAAAACCGGATGATATGAACATATTTAAGTAAGTAGAATTTTAACAATGCCACTACATATTTGTGTGACCAATATCCATGTTAAAATGTCATTCTTTTTTAAAGAAAACACTAAAAGTAAAAAGTAAAAAATCTTCAACCTTATTTGTAACTAAAAAAATAATGAAGACATGGATCAGCAAAAAACCTTTCACATCAGAATGAATATAAACTGATCATAAAAAAACATAAATTATTTATCCCCAGTTCTGTGATTTGTTGACTGTACATCATGAACGAAGAAGGTGAAAAAACAAGTACTTTTCAAACCACACTAGAATCCACTAGGATCTCAGGGTGCAGTGTCCAAGGCAGTGACTACACTGACATTATCTAAACAGGGACACAACCTAAAACAATGGACAAACATTACAACCCACACTGGTGCCCGAATACAGGGACGATCATATTCCATAAGAAACCATGCAGTTATGTATGGGTGTTGAATGACATCTTCAGTATTGACTTTTAGTTTCATCGTGAGTATGTGATTTGTGCAAATTTCCAGAAATAATTGACACATTGACCCATGCAGGGCAAACACTTTAACCACTAGGCTACCCCACATTAATATAAGTAATGATCCTTGCCATCAAGGCACGATGTCGGCGAAGTCAGTCGCCACTTATGAGTGAGTTGGGTTTAACACCGCTTTGAACAAATTATCACTGTATATCGGCTCAGTGTGGAAGGAAGTCCGAAGTGATGCAGATTTCAGACTTTTTCCACTTTGGTGAAACCCACAAGCACGATTATGGTACTGACAAACCATATTGGTCCAGTCGTCAACGGTACCACAGCAAATTTTGGAACTTTAGACGACTGGGACACTGTGCACCTGCCATTGACAAGCATAAAGTAATGGGGATCTGTTCTGACCCTGATTCGCCACATGCATCATGTCTCCCATAGGTACATATTGGTCAACACCAGTCAACAATAGTTCAGCTATATCATGGCGTCCTGTAAATACTGGAGTCTGATAGGTTGAGCAGCGATCCTTGTTATTGGGTATAATGACAGCCAGACTCACAAAGATACAATCTTTTCCCCAATTGGCTTCTGCCACAACAACCAGGTACTCTCCATTCTTCCGAACTAGTGTCCCAGAAAGGTTTGTTTGTTTGTTTGTTGTTAATAGCCACACTCAGCAATATTTCAGCCATATGACGGCGGTCTGTAAATACTCGAGTCTGGACCAGACAATCCCAGAAAGTCGTCGTATATAGTTGTTTTTTATTCATCTACACTCACTGTCCTTATACACAATGAAAAGGGATGACATGTCAGATAATCTGTACGAGGGTCAAGCAGTACGCCATTCTTATCAACACCTCTGGTTTGTTGCAAAGCGCTCACTAAACCCAGTAGCTATCACACTGAATTAGATGGTACTAACTGGAAAAGACTTGGACACTGCCCCCGAGGACAAATATAGCCATCCTCAAAACAAAATCACCCATCAACACTAAAATAATGCCAATTCTACTTCTTCTCAAACGTTGCACCATTTCATTCAAGCACCAATAGAGGCAAGAACCAAACATCAATTACAGGAAGGTAGTCGACGGGAAGGCAGCATAAACAGAGATTTGGTAGCTAATTTACCTGATCCTGAGCGTTTCCGTTTATACGCTAGTTGGGCAGCTAGTAAGGAAATCAGAAACACAGTGAAAGCAACAGAAAGAGGTAGAGAGAAAATGTCATTTCAAACAATCCCTTGTTATCCAAGTTTGGGAACCGGAATGTGACAATCCGATGATTACACAGTCTGGTTGCACATCTTATGATTTTTATGAAGTTTGAAGCAACACTGGGTTTGATAAAAATAACAAATAGTTTGACCAAAGTTTAAATTGTCCAGGACACAGGGATTGCTTGGACAGACAGAGCTGGAAGATCAGAATAAAGCTTTAACTTTTGAATATCTACAATGTTGTCATTGCTTATAGGTCAGATAACATTAACCAAGTTTCGAAGTTGAGCCCATTTTTAACAATATGTCACAGACAGTGAAAATTAATATGTAGCAGAAAAGAAATTTGACCTTTGTACTGATGTGTAAATAAGTGCAATAAAATGTCAAAAAAATCTTTTGATTTGTAGTCAAAGATACAAGCAATGTCCAGCCTAATCATCAAATTCAGTATTATAAAATGGCACTGGTGTAATAGTCTCACCAAACATTCTCAATGGTTAAGGCATTCATAGGATTATTGAAATTACCCGTATTTTAGATTTTTTCTTCACATACATCACCATATGGACTACTGACTGAACAGTCCACAGCACATTTTGGATAAGAGGTCTTATGGGAAACAAGCGTCACTCAGTCTCAAAAGTTCATAGAAGGTGAATATACAGTCTGTGCCACAAGCATTGGAGTCCGCTGGCCAGAACTTGGCTCTTAGCATCTCAGAAGTTCTCAGATTTTTTTATAGATAGTGAATATACAGTCTGTGCCACAAACATTGGAGTCCGCTGGCCAGAACTTGGCTTTCAGCATCTCAGAAGTTCTCAGAAGTTAATAGATAGTGAATATACAGTCTGTGCCACAAACATTGGAGTCCGCTGGCCAGAACTTGGCTCTTAGCATCTCAGAAGTTCTCAGAAGTTAATAGATAGTGAATATACAGTCTGTGCCACAAACATTGGAGTCCGCTGGCCAGAACTTGGCTTTCAGCATCTCAGAAGTTCTCAGAAGTTAATAGATAGTGAATATACAGTCTGTGCCACAAACATTGGAGTCCGCTGGCCAGAACTTGGCTCTTAGCATCTCAGAAGTTCTCAGAAGTTAATAGATAGTGAATATACAGTCTGTGCCACAAACATTGGAGTCTGCTAGAACTTGGCTCCTAGCATCATTTTTGTACAATTTAGTGTTATTATGTGGACTATTATTAGCTGACATTACTAGCCCAAACAGAATTTTACTATACACAGGCTTCAGACAAGTGGCTGAAGTTGCAGACAGGTCATATCTGACCCTATACATATGAGCTGCTGCATAATATCTGTGACAACATTATAGAAACAAGCTGCAGGGATAGTGTCCAGAACATATAAGCTGTCTAGTTTCATATTTTATTTTAATTCTGTTGAACCAGACTTAATAGCCTAACCTGAGACATAAGACAAAGTTAAAGGAAACACTTTAAGACTTCCTGGTCCTTGAACCAATACAAGATGATCACTGCAGCTTTGTATAGGTTAGTTATTATCAGAACAAATTAGTTACTATAGCATGTACTGAGTGTTACCATCTTAGAGGAAAACTAACAAGCAACAAATTTATTTTCATAGTTAATAAAAGCAAAGCCTGCAAATTGTGGAACAGAACAGAAGGAATGTTATACATTTAAATAAAAAATTTCGCGGAACATTTAATGCAAGCAAAGCAAATGTCATGATAGCATTTCTATCAAGTTATTTTACTGCTATTTGTAAGCGATAAACACAGAATGCGGTGACTGCAGGATAAATATTACTGTCAGTATATTCCTGTATAAGATGAGCTGTCTAACAAAACCATCTTCAGCCTTGATCTGAAAACTGTGTTTCTTAAGCAGAGATGACAGGCGTCGATGAAAGATCACTTAGTAGAACAAGAACCTGGTATGCACATAGAAATCTTAGCACTAAGGTCGTAACTCCTTAAACATCAACTTGTGACAGTCTTAGCACTAAGATCACTTTGTGAAAAGGGGTGCTTTGCTTTGTATAAAGTGAGACTTTGTTGTAATTGTAAGCTGCCAGTAGCTTAAGAAATGTCTTACATGTTCCGCTACCCTTGGCCGATGTGATGCTCTTCCTTCCGAGAGTGCCAGTGCTGGTGATTGGCCGCTTGGTATGCAGGACTTTCGAGGTCATGGGCTTGGCGAAGTCAGTCTCATCTTCACTACGGTCACTCCGAGATGGAGCTGGAATGAAAAAGAAAACTATGAGGATTTGGGAAAATACTCTGAACATACTTTTTAATATCATTTATGAGATAATCTACTGATGAACACGATCTCTGATGTGCTGAAATATGTAATGGTTATCAAATCAATTCGTTATTGATGGAAGATTCCAGGATTTGAAAATGGGTGGGGTGGGGTGGGGTGGGGTGGGGTGGGGTGGGGTGGTGGAGTGTGTGCACATAATACCAAAATAACGAAGCAACTCGGCTGAATGCGCAATTAAATGTAAGGTGTCTGGAATAAAGGGGTGTGTTAGAACAAAATATTAGGATTTGATCAATCTCCATAAAATGTTTGGAGTCGTTGTGTATTATCTTATCTTTTGGTATCCAACAGTCCTTCAAAGTGACAGATAATAAGAGTTACTGACAAGTGAAAAAAATAGTTTCTCAACAATATGGATCTCCTTGGCCTCATGAAACAAGCCCCATTGTTATGAAGGGTACTGACATACTTACACACATAACAACCACACATTTATGGAGCATACTGAGTCAGTTCATCCCCAGCAATTGTTAGATGACAAATCCTACTGACTGTACTGGATAAACCCTTCCACACACACTACACTCACAACAAATATAAAGTCTCTATAAAAATTCATTAAATGGCAAATATGATATCTAGAATAATAAAGATAGCCAACGTACTGGAACGAACCAGTGAGTACACTGACACTGATCCACAGACAACACCTATATCACAGGTAAACAAGTGACACAGGTAACACATCCACAAGTCTTACATGAGCTCCAGGTATCTGTTTCATTCCAGTCATCCATGGCATGTATTTAAACTCCGAATGAAACCTCCATGTCTTTGTAAGGTAAGAAACGCAAGCTGCAAGTTGTCCTCCTCTAACACCCAAGAGGGCTTTTCAGAAAGTAGGGCAGTCACTCCATCAGGGAAATAAAGGGATGACAACACACATAGCAACCTCATCAGTCACCATTAACCAACTCGTCAACAATCAGATCACAACACCACAGCCTGTGATTACTGATCAACTCATCCTAATCACCATCGCTATGTATTCATACGAACATGGAATGTCAGATAACAGAGTCGTAAAGATAAACATCTCATATGTATACGCATCCCAATAGGTAGTCGTACCTGGATTTTTTGTCAGCATTATTTACACAATCAGGACACCACCTCATCCATCTCCAATTTCAGTTAGGTTATTGAGGTAACTACAGAACAATGGTGAGACAAAAGGCTGGTGCAACTGCTGTCATGGACACAGCCGTCTCTACCTACATCGTCTCCAACCTTGGAGATGGAATGCTCACTTGCACTATGGCAACAGTGGGCTTTCCTAGGATGAAGATGTTCAGTAAGTGGCATTGGAGGCAAATCAAGACCAGTGCTTGAAATTATTCATGAAAAGGGATCCTTGTAATAATCCAAATCCTAAACTTAGATTTAAGGGTCCCTAGATTAAAAGACTAAGCTGTGAACCTCAAGGACACCAGGACCCCCTTAATTTCAAACACGTCAGATACTTGAGAGCTATTAATCATGACCTGTGTAGGCAGATTTCTTTCAAAAAACATCAAAGAAAAAGATTGCTGAGGGCAAAGTGTCTCACACACTATCAGTCTCCTGCTTGTTTATCAGTCATCAAAGATCAAGAGACGAAATACTTTCGGTGGTGACAAATTAACCTTCAATACATGTGGTTTCATTTCTATATAATCTGAACCGTAACCACAAATATTTGAAATCAATTTTCACAGTTTATCCACAAGAGTGAGTGTGTATGGTTTAACAGCATTTTCAGCAATACTAAAGCAATATCACTGCAAGGAGACATCAGAAATGGGCTTTACAAAGGGAACCCATGTTGGAAATCGAACCCCAGCATTCGGCATGACGAGCAAACTCTTTAACCACAAGGCTACCACACTACTAGATCCACAAAAAACTCGTTTTTTATCATAAGTATAACGTTATAAAGGAATTCTTAGTGCTGTGAATACATGTGTACATACCCAAACAATACAACATGTTAACCCTTAAAATGTTTCAAGAGTCCACCGTGGTGAAGTAACATCATTACTCATCAGTGAATGTGCATGATATCAAAGCCATGTGCCTGTGCAGGTGTGCTGTACACCGATCGTGTGTGTCAGAATAGCAAGGGTTAAGATGATAGCCCAGTCTGATCCCTCTACAACTACAAACCCTGTGAGGTCTGAAACCCAAGGCAAGATGTGTGGAAGAGGGATTCCATGCCGTCTTGATGTATTTAACAAGCATGCACAAGCTGCATAAAGTGTACACTTATCTGTTGATAGGTAAAGGTCATACTTGTCTATCTATTCCGTATGCATCTGAGCTGTGTTGAATAAACAAGTGTGTGTATTGGCATTGGAGGGGGTGAGAAGGCAGTGAGTGACTGAGTGAGTGAGTTTGTGAGTGTGTTTTGTTTGTGAATGTGTTCATGAGTGTCTTTGTGAGTGAGTGTTCGTGATTGAGTGTGTTCCCTTGTGTGTTAGAGTTGTCTGTCAGTGTTTGTTTGTTGTTTAATGACACACTCAACAAAATATTCCAGCCATCTGTAAATAGTTGAGTCTGGACCTGACATTCAAGTGATTGACATCACAAGCATCCATTCACGCAATTGGGATACAATGACATGCATCAACAAAGTCAGCAAACCTGACCACCTGATTCCCTCTAACGACAAGCCTGGCTTGCTGACGACCAATTCTAACTCGGATCTTCACGGGTGTGTCCGTGCGTGAGCGATTGAACAATAATCATGCCCAGTCATCACACAATCAAAGGTGGTTCCAGTCTGCAGTTTTAGCCACTAGTCCGGAAGCCTGAGTCAGGTCATTTTCTTCTTGTCCAGTACAATCATGCTTATACTACATTTGTTTTCCAAGTCCACACACTAAGACCAAAAATATACCGGCCAGTAGACTCAAAAGATTTTGGCACAGGCTGTGGTCTGCTGGTGAAAAATGTGAAACAGCAGTCTCTTTAATCTGTTTAAAATAACAGAGTAAGAAGAATGATGCTGGCTGAATTTTCAAGACATACAGGTGTGAACTAAATTGAAATAGTCTCGTCCTGTTATGCTAGTTTGGCTTCATAAAAAACTATATTTATCAATCCTGAAAGGATAATCAAGTATTGCTTCTAGGCCACATCAGTGGAAGTATGTATGGCAGCGAATGACAAACAGCTTATTCACAAGCTATCCCTTTCTTCCAAGGTCTAGACATGTCAACAGGTTCATCAGCACCCAGCCAACATGGCACCGATGTGTGTTGAGACCACATGATGTATGTATGTGTACTGGTCTGTGCACTGCACACAACATGCCAGTATGACCATGTCAAAGGCAGATGGCACATAACATTATACATATCCGACCCCTGCATTGTGTATATACTAATGAGCATATAGACGTTGACGTCTGTACAGTTAGGCTGTACTACTGACACTACATACACCAAGTTTTTAACAAGGACCATGTGTTTTGTCAGATAATGGGTGTCTTATTGAAGGATATGTTCACAATGTCAATGAAAATGATAAATTATTTATAGGCTCTTGCTAACGGGAGGGGGGGGATAATATAGGAGATATTCATAATATTTGACAGTTCATCTAAAAGGGTTAAGTTAAGGGTCAGTCTAAGTCCCAGTCATTACAAATGGGTCAACCCGTGATGATCCAGGTTACAAATAGGTCTCAGCTGAGTGTGACATTAAACAACAAACAAACAAACAAACAAACCCAAACACTTGGGTTTAAACAAGGGTGAGAGTAGTCGAGAAGAGAAACAGTGAAGTATTTTAATCAATGCTTGTTTCCAGAGAATGTAATTCTAACTGTGAAGTTAATGCGCACTGAACATAAAAATATAATTCCTAATCGATACAGATTATTCGTTTTCAGCACAAATGTATTTTGTATGCATTATCGATGTATATTAATGGGAGTCGACCTGACTACTGTTCATTTATTTGCGATAATTCATACAAGAAAGCATGTCTCCCACTTTAGATAACAAATGCTGATGCGTAAGAATACTGGTTGCTCAGTGCCATGGATTGTCTGCTTTATAGTCAAGACTTTGAGTAAGACTAACCAAAGAAATTACTTCGCTTGTCGCTTACTTGTTTATCGCCTCCATTTCCCTCACATTGTTTCTCCGGATAAAGTGCTGTGGATTAATTACGATCGGCTTTTGACGGATACAGCCAAAGTTATTTCGCTGCATTTGACTGGGTTTCCCGTAACGGTTGTGCATGTATATCACTACCAACTGCTGTCAGATCCGATAGTGTTTCCTTTCGTTTGCATAGTAAATGCATTCGGTTTCATTGAGGAAGCTATGTTACCAATGCACCTTCATTCTAAACCCATTCAATGCTATTTATTCAAATAAATAGGACCTGATATAGGCTAAAATCAAGTGTCAGTCTAAGCACTATCCCAGTCAGCGCACAATGGGTTAAGTCAAGGGTCAGTCTAAGCACTATCCCAGTCAGCACACAATGGGTTAAGTCAAGGGTCAGTCTAAGCACTATCCCAGTCAGCACACAATGGGTTAAGTCAAGGGTCAGTCTAAGCACTATCCCAGTCAGCACACAATGGGTTAAGTCAAGGGTCAGTCTAAGCACTATCCCAGTCAGCACACAAAGGGTTAAGTGACAGCCTGGTGCCTGCACTATGGCACATTCCTGCAGACAGTACATCTGGCAGCCCCGGGGAAGGAATGCTGCTACTACTGCTGCTACAGGGTCTCTACACAAGTAAATATACCCTACACACTGTCAGCACTCGCATGTCACAGACGTGATGACATTGTCAGGAACTCACACAATGCTTTCATGACAGGGTATTCTTTATCCTGGAGTCATTGAAGATGTATACATGGAATACGGTTCAGCACCTCCATAGATGTGCCCAATGTGGGTCCACAACTCATACAA